TTGCTGTATCAGACACTTGTTGCCCATCCAGTTCAGCAACTTCAATAGGTTCAGCCTCTTGCGAAACGCTGTCCTGCCTAACCCTGTCTTTGCTTATCGAGGCCGCAGGAGAGATCGTCTCGGGGGTCGATGGCTTCTCAACGAGTGTCGTCTCCGACGCGCTCTTCAATGAATTCGAATTGTCTCTTTTAGGCGATACACTGGCAACATAGGGTTGCTGATTATAGCGCACGGGCTCACCGGAGTTTCCTGTTTTGGGCCTGGGCAGCCCTTGCGTACGGATGAACCCACGAATAGCGCGAGGTCTTTGTGGAGAGGTACGGTCGGATTCTGTTCGACTTTGAGGGGATGGATGTGGATTGGTAGGAGGGACTGCAGTTGAAGATATTGCGCATGGCGCATTTGACTTTCCCCAAGAATTTTGGGTCGCCCTTCGCAAGCCTGATGTCGAGCTGCTGATTGTCTGTTTTACTCGAGAGTCCGATATTATCTCTCCTGCGGCGCGAGAGGTGGGCTCCTGCGCGTCTGATTTCTTTGGGCTGCTTCTCAAATCTGCCATGGTCACCATAGTGCGTGTGATAGTGGGTGTGATAATGAAAACATCGTCCGACTTGCGGCCCAATTTCTGCTTGTCGTGTTGCTTGGCTGTGTTCTCTGACGGATCCAGATTCTCTGTCATAGACGCTTTGGCAGAGACCTCCATCTTCTCCGGCGGGCGGCATTTGGCTTCTTGACACATTGTCTTCGGCAAGGACTTCGAGCATTGGGCTTGTTTCAAATTCTGAGAAATTGGTTTCCATTCTTCTTGAACGACAGCTTTCTCTGGAGATGTCGACGTCGCACGATTGCTGGTGATTCGCTTCCCTTCTTTTGACATCTTGGACCGTCCGGACGGGATGTCTATCATTCTGGGGCGCTCGTCCGTCATCGAGAAGAGCAGGATCTCGTCTGGGTTCTTGTCGTATGGCCCATTGATCTCCTTGCACCCTAAAAAAGACCCATCTGGGTTTGCAGCGGGGGTTTTGTTTGCAGATTTTGCGGGAGCCTCTTCCCATATAGTACTGAACCGTTGCTTTCCGACCTCTTCTGGGCTATAATACCGGCGGTGTCCAGCTGAACAGTTGGAGTCACTGACTTCAGATGGGCGGCCGATACGTGTATCCTGACCATCAAGGCCCGTTGACGTCTTTTCTTGCCCAGTAGGATTGTTAGTGCTGTCCTCGGGAGTTCTGGTACGCGGGCTGGGAAGGGTGTCCGGATCTAGCATCTCCCCGCCTTCCTTATGGACTTTCTCGATGCTTTGCTGGAAATCGGAGATTTGTTGAGTACTCATAATTGGCGGGTTTGGCTCCTTAGCCGAGGGCATATTGACAACGAACTTGTCTTCCCACTCGGTTAGGGAACTGGACGGGGCAGATATCGGAGAAACTGAGGGATGTGAGTGTTCGGAGGAGTCGGTGTTGGTGTCTGTCCTTTCAGATGATATTGCCGGTGTGGAGTTGCTGAAGTTCAGATGCGTTCGTTGAGTTCCATTGCTCGGGCGCTTTCTTTGACCAGTAGAGAGACCTGCTCCTCCTTCTCTCGCACTGCGCCCGAAATTTGTTCGACCGTCGTTGGAATTTGGAATCTTTGTCGGAGGGCTCGGGCCTTGGAGGACTGTTCTGTCGCCCCGAGGCGCCCCTCCTGCCAGCTTCTGTTTTTGTTTGGCAATCTCCTGTCTTGGGGAGTTGGCCAGTGAAACTATCTTTCGGTAGGCCTCCTGGTAGTATTCCTTCGGCTTCTCTTTAGTGAACGACCCTCCGGGAATCTCTTTTTCAAATCTATCCTTTACCTTCCGCCAGTATTGGTCACGATCGTTGTCTGATCTCTTGGGTGACGAACGCTGCAGTGCCCCGAATGACCTCTTCGGCTGGAGAACTCTATCTGCACGGTGACCTTTCTGTTCAGAAGTTGTGGGGGTTTCCTTTGGTTGCTGTTTCTCCTTGTCGGTAAAAGACTTTGGAAGGGGTAGTTTTGTAGGGGTTCTCTTTCGCGGAGCCGTGTCAGGCGAAGCGCCGGTGCTCTCTTTGCTTCCAGACTTGTGCCGTTCGTCAGGTTTGGGCGTAGATTCTTGCACTCGCGTGGGTGTTTGTACCTCGTTACCGACTCTTGTCCGCTTGCCGTGGCGGGGTCGAGGCTGAAGATTTAGCAGATGTCCATTTGGTAGATGCAAGAATTCCTCCATCTTCGCCCGTTGAGGACTGCTGCAGCCCAAGCAGCTTCGACCTTAAAGCCAGACAGCGTCAAAACAATGACCCATTCCTCCACCAGCGCTGGAATATCTCTCAATGCACTTCTTCTCCGGACGAGTGTGTGCAGAATTACGCCCGTGCAGGCGTTGGGCGTTTGGTCGGTGGTGTGGTTTCATCGGAACGCGACAGGGGTCTGGAAAGAAAGCTGGCAGGGCAACCCCATCACTGGGCGCGTTCCGCGTGGTAGGGTAGGGATAATGTATGTAATGATAAGGGGTGGAATGTATAGTACGCCAGGGCTGGCCACTATTAGGAATGTAGCAAACGGGCGGGTAGAGGTCACCAAGGAATGTAGGCCTGGACCTGTGACATAGTTCGGTATGGAAACTGCAAGCATCGCGCAGCTGAACTTGCTGCTTCCATTTGTCACTTGCGAATTCCTGGGGTGGAAACAGCGAACGCCACAGGTTCACGAACGTGAAGGCGCAATCATAAGAAGTGATTAGTTAGATGCTGCCGGCGATATAAAGTATGCCATTAACGAGGGTCAAGGATGCGCCGATGTAGAATTGCTTTGAATGCGGAACTGATATCCGTGAATTTGAAGTCGTCCAGCCTCGTATTAAGCATGTTGCTCAGCGGCTGGATCACTATCGGCCATCAGTAAACCCCAGCCTACATTCTCAAAAGAGCCCGGGCATCCATTGTTTTCAGAAAGATAAATCCAAGCAAGTGGCACAAGGGCGAACGGGAAGTCAAAAGACAATGAAAAAGCTTTTAATGAGAAACAAGGATCCGAAAGCTTGGATGATTAACGCCGCACCTGATGCTCCAAAAGTAGTCCACGGTCACAAGAGGTACCGGTCTTAATGATGACCTGATCACAACGCCGATATGATGTTATAGCATACTATACATGAGAGTTACTCCTTCCATGCTACTCTTATGGTTGGCGCATGACGCCTTAATCGAACAACCCATGTTAAAACCGTCCACTGTCGCGGCGTGCGTCCAGTTGACTCCGTCTCGGTCCCGGTGTTAAGGGACTGCCTGCGGGGACATTACTTCTCTTGAGGGGACTAGAGGGCCTTCTCATTGCGCTTGTTCCCCGTTCCTTGTAGAAGAAATCGCCATTGCTCTGAAGACGACGTTCAAGATTGGCTGACGTAGACTTCTTTAGAGGAGAGTTGGCATGCGAGTAAATGCCAAGGCTTCCACCATCACCCGTAGTCGTCGGTGTCTGACGAAATTGGGGCTGGCGAATTGCAGAGATAGAGTTTCGAACAACAGGAGAAGCATCCCGCAGGTGGCTTGGGGTCTGCAACGCGGCAGCACGATGAGATACTCCAGTAGGTGTCGCTGCAAAGGATTGGCGCGCAGATGATCGGCCCTCGGGGTCCACATGGCTGACGTAGTTGGGATTTGGGCTTGTCTTAAAGCCTCTATGAAGCACGACAGTGGGCGTGAAGGTGTCAACCTTATTCTGCTTAATATCGGGATCGGACTCGGAGAATTGAGTGGCCACATCTCTCATCAAAGGCTGAGTACGAGGATGAACGTATTTAGTGTCGTATTCACGGAGCACCTCCTTATGAACGACCATAGAATCCTTTGCTTGCTGGGTATAGGACGAGGAAAGGAACGTCATCTGTACCGAGAGGAGTGCCGCTATGAAGATAGTGGTCACAATCGTCACGCTTGGTCGAGGATCGGATAGCTGAGTGGGTAGAAAAACCCAATATACCAAGACATGTCCAGGACTGAAGAGGCAGAACAATCGAATGCAAATGGGTAGAGGATCCCAGACGGCAAGTTCCCATACATCTCGCTGTGCGTCTGGGTGAGCTCTCGACTGGGCCGATCTGGCTATCGTATCCGCCAGATATTTCAGTGGCGAAGCGGTCACAGGAGTCGAATTAACACGGACTCGGTGAGCGGAGGGAGTTGCAGGAGCCTGATCGATTGATGCTTCAAACATGCGATAATGTCGCTTCCGGTAGAATGTATAGAAGGCGTTGAACGCGGTGAAGGTGGTAAGAAGGTGGACTATGAAGGAAGACTATCATCCTTTACGTTAGCGATGCAGCACATAGAGGCGTATATTTATTCAAAGCAAACTCGAAGTCAATCAGGCGTCACATACAAACCAACTGAGCCATGGAGTGCTTCCATCATCGCCAAAAACATCATCTATGGCTTGACTGCCGTACGATTGACTGTTGGCCCTGGCGATCAGAAAGATCGCATTCAAAGCTACTCCCAGGGGGAACGCCCAGTTCTTCTCAAACTGGTCCCAGTCATGAGTATCAATCTCCTCCGACAGCCACAAGAGAAAGTCCAGAGGGTTCAAGTAGGACTTGATGCGCTCCGTCAACGGTCGGCGGCGGACAAGCCGGGGCATGGTGAGAATGGCGACGCGGGATACTTGATAATCAGAGAACAAGAGTTAGAGCCATAGCCCGTAGATAGAGCACCAAAATACAGAGGATATAGAGACCAACCTTTGGTGAATATGATAGTTGAAGCCGAAGTTTTCCTTTTCCGCTTGTCAACAACAAAGGGTGGAGCGCGACCCCGGCTTAGATAAGCGACACCGGCGCCGTTATGACGACGTCTCCCGCAAGACAGTCGGGATTGCCAGACTCGCCAGGGACAGATTTACTTTCTTTATCGGCTCAGGGCGACGCGAGCTAACTGCAGCCGCAGATATTCGCCAATATATAAGCAGCTCACAGTCTTTACGTCCGCTTCTTCCCTATTCTCAGAACCATGGCGGCCCCGGCCGTATCATACAAGGTAATATCCCGAGGTTTCCCCTCTTCCTCATTGCCAGTAGTCACTCACCATATACACCTTATCTAGGACCGGCAGTTCCTTGCGGTCATCGGAGATGAAGAGTAAGTCACATCATCACTACCTTATGAGAGAAACACTTTCACTAACTGTTTAATTTTAGCTCCGTAACAGGTCTCCTCCTTGCCGGTGTCGGTGTACGTATCCTTAAACCACGGCAGCCAGATAACGGCAAACATGCGACTACAACTAACATGATACATTGCAGCATGTCACAGATGGCGCAGATGCCCAGCGAAACTTCCTTGTGGTAGACTCGAAGACTGAGACCGCCGCGATCGAGAAAGCATTCCAGAACTTCACTCAGGAGAGGAAAGATATCGCCATTGTCCTTATCAACCAACATGTATGTGCTTTGTTACACTTCACAGTGTCCTTAACCTGCAACGCCTGCGAAGCATACAATTTCCTGGGTGTTTATAGCTCGTCGCTGACGATGAAGATACAGATCGCAGAGCGGATCCGGCACAGCGTCGATTCCTACGCCGAGGCTTTCCCTGCTGTTCTCGAGATCCCGAGCAAGGACCACCCGTATGACCCTGAAAAGGACAGTGTACTCAAGCGGGTGCGACGACTGTTTGGAGAGTAGATATAACGCGCTTTCAATTTTGATTTGAGGTTTCATATGTATTGCCATCTGGTGGTGTTATCTCATTGCCCTATCTCTTGTTTGCCGTTTCACGAAGTATACAGATGGAATGAGAGTTAGCTCGAAGGCGGAGGGGAAGATACCCAATTATATCGTTATCCATCACAACACCAAGTTCGCAGAGGCCACTCGTACCGGGTTTTTCGCTACGCTGGTCATCAAGTCTGGCTACTTACTAGCACGTTCCATGGGCTCTGCCGTCAATGGGATCAATGTTTCAAATGCATTTTAGTACAGATGCTAGGTAATGCCAGTAAAAGAAGGTCACGGATTATAATAACAGTGATAAGGATGGACTACAATATGTGGCACTAAACCAAGACCCAAAACACCGTTGAAGACGTAGCGCAACGAAATGTTAGTAGCAATCGTAGAGCGTGGCATGGCTTTCGTAAACATTGGCATGTCACTGTGAGGCTCGAGGATAAAGGCGGGCTTAAGTAGTGGCAAGCGGAGAAACAAAACGACAACATATGCAAGTAGTAACGTCAGCTCGTTATGGGCGATAAAACGCAAGGACATCCAGCGTCAACAGCGCTAAATTATGCATCGCGGCCATGTACTCGGAAGTACCGAGTCAGCTTTCACATAAAGCCCGCCTTGAACTCGATGTTACGGGCCTGAAGGCAGGTAACATGCTTATCGTCTTTGGTGTAAACGTCGGCATGCACAGTGTACTTGCCCTGTTGATTGATCATAACCTGGTTAATTTCGACATCGATAGTGGTGTACCATAGGGAATCACGTACCGGAGGGATCTGCCTGGGCAGCTCAACTTGTTTAGTCAAGGTCATCTCGCCCTTCTCCAGAGGACATTCGAGGTCAACATTGACGATCTGCTCGCACAGGTCGGCCGTCTGCCTGACCAAAGTAATCAAGCCATATTTGACCTCCAGGTTCACATAAGCTCCTTCTTCAATCTTCTCATTCAGGGTACCCGTAGCTTGGATGGTGAGAGTCTTTCCACTATAGAGCGATCAGTATGCGATCCAATTCAGGCAAGACAGGCTAATTGAAGCGTACGGCAGAGGAGGATTAGGCGTCAAGTCGACATGATCTATTTGCAAAAGATAGCTCGAAGGATCATTGCAGTACTCGAGGGGGTTATCGCCTTTCACAGCCTCGTTCTCTGCTTGGATGGGAGTTTGAGAGTTGAAGAAGTCCAGAGACCGGGCGGTAGAGAAGGGGGCGACGCAGAGGAGGAATGTAGCGGCGGTTGATAAGAGCTTCATGGTCGCAAAGGGGCACAAAGCAGCAGTTTTCGTTGTGTATAAAGATCAAGTGATAGCGAAGGACTAGCTAAGCTAATATGAAGTATATTCGAGAAAGTATTGACGGACTGGAAATCACCAGAGGTACAGATAAGAGAGACAAGACGAGGCAAGAGAGGATGAAGAGCGGTGTCATGGGACGGCGGTTCCTGTCTTGGCAGCCGCCGATGACGACGGACGCATTGGGAATGCACGTGATTGACTAGCGCCTGACCTTACTTTGGCACTAGGAACCATTTGTCCTAGATCATCAGATCCCATGGATCCCTGTCTTAAACAATACCATAGAGTGAACACAAGGAAATGCATGCCGAAGGGCTGTATCATGGTTTTGTCTTTCTTATAGTGACCTCGCTGTATTTCGATGGGCCCTACGGATGTCTTACCCGTCTCACTAAAGTTATGGAGTCCGAAGCCCTCATGGCATGGGGATGACCCACCGCCCCGGATGAAGCGCAGCCGTTATTGATTTACAACGTCCATACATTTAGATAACTATATGGTGCCCTCCTTTGATCCACACAACTACAGCTGCACCGCAATCGCCCTTGGTTCTTACAGACCTGAAGCGGGTCAAAGTGAACCCCAATGATTCTAAATCAACTTGAAAGTAGAATCGTCATTGTGAAGGCTACTATTTACAAGGTATAATAACAATATTACTATCATATCACGCTCAATGCTCAGAGACGAAGACACCAGCCATGCCCATACCCTATATAAACATCATTAGCCTAAAGTTCGACATCTGCAGGGTGCACAAATTAATTGAAAATCTTACCGTTCCAACACACATCGAGGTAACTGCAATCCTCTTGTTTTGTCGGCGCAACTCCGAAAGGGCGGTCACCACCTGGCGCGCTCCTGTGCAGCCTAGAGGGTGGCCAAAAGCACTGCTAATCGTCAGCATCATGAGGCTTGGATTCGGCGATTCAAGACTTACATGGCACCGCCACGGGGGTTAACTTTGGCCTCATCCAGGCCCAGCTTCTGGACGCAATACGTTCCCTATACCAAAATCAGCAAGTTGTTATGACCCGACGAGAGATGACCACTTACCATTGAGGCGAATGCCTCGTTAATTTCAAAGATGTCGATATCTTCCTTGCTCAGACCGAACTTGGAAAGAATCTTGGGAATGGCGATCGATGGACCAATGCCCATGATTCTAGGTTCCAGGCCTGCAACTGTAGCACCGCAGAACTTGGCTACGATGGGTTGACCGAGCTCTTGGGCACGAGATCGCTTCATGAGAATGAGACCGGCAGCACCATCGGTAATCTGACTGGCATTACCGCCTGTAGTAGCGCTAGGCGTCCATTGAGGGAACGCAGAGCGGATCTTGCCTAAAGACTCAGCCGTGGTACCGTAACGGATACCATCATCCCGGTCGACGACAACTTCCTTGGTCTCGCCCGTCTTGGGGTCTTTAATCACCGTCTTCACCGGGACAATCTCGTCGTTGAACCATCCAGCCTTCTGGGCATGCTCGGCTTTCTGGTAGCTGTTGGCGGCAAACCTATCATGCTGTTCACGAGTAATGTTGAACTGTGAGGCAACATTTTCGGATGTCTGTCCCATAGGTTGAGTATTCTGCGAGGCGATCGGATGGTTCATGATCTTGGAGGACATTTCGGGAGAGCCACCGTCGGCGTTGGTGCTCATACTCTCAGCCCCCACAGCTATACCAACATCAATAGAGCCAGCCATGATCTGGTTGGCAATGTTCTGGACGGCGAGCAATCCGGAGGAACAGAATCGATTGGCGACCGAAGCAGCAGCTGTGACCGGAAATCCTGCGGCTAGCACAGCTGAACGGGCGACGTAAGCTGCGCCGGGGCACAGCACATTTCCAACGCAAACATCTTCGACAAGATTGGGGTCAAGATTCGATTTTTCGCGGACGGACTAGAAGCTATATGAGACGGAGAACATGTCGGCGCTGAAGAGGGTGGGAAGACAATACCGTCAGCAACGAGATGAGAAGATCATCAAGTGTCGTGTCTTTCAAGCCGCCCTTTCTGGCCTTTGTGAGCGGGGTCCGAACGGCCAGTGTAATCACCTGCCACTTGTTAGATTCTGTTACCAGAGACGGATGATAAAAGTGCGCAAATCCATACAATATCGTCGGGGTTCTTGGACAAGACTCTCTGCTTTCCAGACGCCGCACCGGGGCCCGAAAGCTGGTTTGCGATCGAGGTCAATCGTTGCTGTGCAGAAGACATGATTAAAGCTGCTTCTTTTCTCTTTCCTCGTATGAATACCGATACGAATCTGCTTCTGGAAACGGAGCAGCTCTTTCGAGATTTTGGCAGACAGAGAAGAATATAAGGAATGAGAGAAGAAGAGAGATCAGCTATATTCTCTTATCTTGGAGACAATCTTTAATTATTATGAACCTGGGGCAAACACGGGGATCAAAAGAACAACCGCGGCTCCCAGACACCCAAGGTTAGACAATACAGTAAATTACTGGGCAAAAGCCACCGAGCCGAAACTCGTCTCGGTATCAAACCCCTGCAGACCCAGCGGGCTTCAAAGGCCAGACCGAGTGAGTGGCAGCCGAGAGAAATGCCGCCTTTTGGTTACACGGCGGTATGATACCGTCACACCAATCGCCTCGGTTGTCGGTCCTTTTCCTAGAAAGTGCACGTATTGCGGGAAGTTGGCCACTCTCTGCCTCCGGTAAGATAGTCTCCGATACAGCGTCATTACCGTCGGTTAATCGTGTGGGTCAGTGACGGGCCGGTTTAGCGTCCAGAATTGCCTCCCCAGATTTGCTGACTGAAGACTCGCAGTGAAGAGAGAGCATCCAACATTCCGAATGAGTCATTATCATGGTCAGAAGACGCTCTCAGGTAGTAGTGCTCAGATGTGAGTATGAGACGGATATTGGTGATAGTACACCTCGGTGTATATAGTATCCTATCCATACAGTGGATCGGCGGGTGGCTGGACACAAATGATGGATCTAAACCGCATTGCAGCATGCAAGAAGAATCTGGCTCTGTGCGCGAGCGTTATCTATGCGCCCTCGGAAGCCAGCTCAACATTCTTTTGCCGCTGCTTGCTTTTCTCCAGGCATGCTTACAAAGTACATACCAAATAGACTAAGTGTATGAAGTTAACAACTAGTATTCCCCACCACTGGGACGGCAGCTTTCGGTGGCTCACGTCCCGACCCCAGATTCCGAGCGCTTGGATTTTCTTGACACAATTCTGTTCCTATATTTGCCCACTTCCCCGTATCAGAGCGGAGCTATGTCTATATTTTTATAATCGAAACTCTTCTTGATGCGGGGTTGAATGTCCGAATTCGCTACTAGTATCTGTCCCGCAATTGACTCAAAATCGTCTCAACAATTGAGTGTGAGACGCCAGAAGAAGAAGTTCATTTCTTGTCTTCTGTAATCAGTATCCTTCCCCATCATACAGATATTACTACAGCATCATCTTCCACATGGAGTACTTCTCCGAATTGGGTGGCCCCTCCATAGCCATTGCATCGGCTCTTTCAGCCGCTGCAGGGGCATATATCAACGCCAAATTCTCTATTTCAACCGATCTCTCATTGTTATACAAAGAACGATCATGGGCAAACCGCCTGGGCCAGCGGATTGCCCAGCTGGGCGATACCGCCACGCTATATAAGTTGCTGGAACGGGTGGTGGAAGTTGACGGACAGGGTGCAGCTGAGGCCTTGTGGTTTGAACATAAGACGTGGACTTATAGCCAGCTGAAAGATCGTATGTGAGCTCCGTATATTACTGGATTGTGTGCTCTTTAACTGACTGTGCATATAGTTGTTGATAGATTTGCGTCCTTGCTTCAGACCAAGGATATTCATGCTGGGGACTTTGTGGGAGTTTTCACCACGAATGCCCCGGAGATGGTGGTGACGATCTATGCACTCTCCAAGTTGGGTGCTGTTGCTGCTCTCATTAACACCAATCTGCGCGGTATGAATATGAGATGCTATTTGTACACGTATTGGGGCAATCACTTACTGATGATGCTTTGGATAGATGATACATTCACCCATTGTCTGAACGTCTCCGGAAGCAAATTTATTGTGTCCACACCCGACTTGTCGCAATTCGTGTGTTCCGAACTGCCTCATTTGGCTCTGAACCTAGGTTCCTTTGATGGCAGCTCTACGGGAGAAATTCAAGTGATCACACCTTCAGATCTACAACAATACTCACCGTCTGCGACAACCCCCGCTAAGAGATCAATCAGCGATTTGACATCGCTGATTTACACTTCGGGAACGACAGGCAAGCCCAAGGCCTGTGCCATCCGCAACATGATGGTTCTTGTCACGTCCAACCCTAACACGACCGACCTCGATGATCGCTCCAAGTACTACCCCCTGCGCACATACTCCCCTCTCCCACTTTTCCATGGTACGGCCTTCTTCACTGGTCTCTGTTATTCAGTTGGAAACGCAGGCACTCTGTGCCTTCGGCGCAAGTTTTCCGCTTCTCAGTTCTGGAAGGACGTTCATGACTCGAAAGCCACACGCATCCTATACATCGGCGAGCTCTGCAGATATCTGCTATCAACACCCCCTTCCCCTTATGATCGTGATCATAACTGCATTGTCGCGAGTGGCAACGGGTTGCGCGGAGAAATTTGGGAGCGCTTCCGCCAACGTTTTGGAGTCCCGGAGATTCGCGAGTTCTATCGGTCAACGGAAGGCGTGGCCAAGTTTGACAACTGGGGTGAAGGAGCATGGGGTGCTGGAAAGGTGGGATTTTCCGGCCCCATTAAGCGACGGTTCGAAGACGATACGTTCATCGTCAAGTACGATACCGAGACGGAGATGCCCTACCGCGATCCCAAGACGGGATTCTGTGTACCGGCCAAGCTTGGTGAAGAGGGAGAGGCGATCGGTCGGGTCAAGAGCCGCGGCTTGCTGACTGAGTACCTGCACAATGAGGATGCTACTGAGAAGAAGCTCCTGCGGGACGTATTCGAGAAGGGTGACCTCTTCCAACGCACTGGTGACTTGGTTGTGAGGGATCACGATGGCTGGGTTCGGTTCCAGGACCGTGTGGGTGATACTTTCCGTTGGAAGGGAGAGAATGTCAGCGCTGGAGAGATTAGAGATCACATCTGTCGGATACCATCCGTCCATGATGCGGTTGTTTATGGCGTGAAGCTGAATGGGTATGATACCAAGATTGTCCCTGGCTTAAGGAATTACACTAGGACAAGATAGCTAACAAAGAGTATCAGGTATGATGGTCAAGCCGGCGCGGCTGGTATCACTCTGGAGGATGCCTCTCCCGCAACTGAGGAAAGTCTCATGGCCAGACTTTACTCGGACTTGAAGAAGAAGGGTGTGCCATCTTATGCATTCCCACGTCTTGTCCGACTCACCGAAAAGTAAGTACCTTCTGCCTTCTATGAGACTTTGGCTTTGCTAACCTCTTTCAGGGTGGAAACGGGAGTTACGTTCAAACAAGCCAAAGGAGCGTTGACCAAGAAGGGCTGGGACCCTCGGACAGATTGGGATGGTGATAAGCTGTACTGGCTGAATGGTACAGTCTACCAGAAACTCGATGAGCAGAGCTGGGCATCGATAGAAAGCGGGCAAGCCAAGCTGTGAGCTTGGCGAGCATGTTTCTGTAGAAAGCATCTCGCGTGTATATAATGCTACTTCATCTATAACTCTTATTGTAGATAGACACACAAAACCATGTGTCAATAGAATACCAGCCGCTTGAGCATCTCGTTCCAAACCATCGTGTCCAAAATGACAGTTGTAGAGACCACACACTCAAAAGACTGCAGAATGACGCAGCTGGCCCGGAATGCCTTCATGGTCCGCATTTGGTGTGATCGTCTTATCGGCTTATCAGCCTTGCTTTACTGGTTCATCCGGGGAATTGCGCGCGGGGTCGACCCCCGCTACATTCCAGGATCATTGCAAGCGTGCATTCGATCACAAACCAGAGTGAGAGGGTGAGTTTGTCAAGCAATCCTGACAATGTCTTCTCTTAACTCTTCCTCCAATCATCCACCTTCTCAAGATGAACACAACCCTAAAGAATTGAATGTGGTGCATGAACTGGACCAGGACAAAGATGTCGAGCAACGAGTTGCGCCCGACCAGATTGAGGACAAATATCGCACAACCAGATGGGAGATCTGGGCTTATTATGCGTGCGTTATAGACAATATTCCGTGTACTTGGTACTAAACAACAGCTATCAGTTACTACATAGGCAACAATGGCCTCTCTCTATTCAGTAAGCCATTATATTTCATTCGCGGCTATTTTCCCACAGAGAAAGCTAACAGCAAATACCGACTTTGCACCCACTGCCTGCCAAAACCTCCTCTCCCAGGCTGCAGGCGATCAAGGCACCCTATACTTCGCCGGAAGACAACGATCCATAGACAGCATCGTCCTGCTAAGCAACGGAATCTCCTTCGCCATCCAAGTCGTTCTCTTCCTCATAATTGGCAGTTTCGCAGACTTTGGCAACTGGAGACCCAATATCCTGATCGTGTTATCGATCGTCGCATACGCCATCGGCTTCGCTTGGCTGGGTGTACACGAAGCCGACAAATGGCACGTCGGAGTCGGACTCTACATCGTCGGGCTGATCGCCTACCAGACCACGCTGACTTTCTGGACGGCAGCGTTTCCCGGTCTCGCGCGGAACACGAAGGAGATGAAGGACGTCGCGGAGCAATATGTCGCGGGAAGTATCTCCAGAGACGAATACGACCATGTTGACACGATGAAGCGCAGTCAGCTTGCCAACATTGCTTTCTATGTGCAATCGGTAGGAGAGCTGTTCGTGCTAGCTGTCATTGTGGGGATTATGTTCGCATTGAACGTCGATGCTAGCGAGAGCAACAATAACTGGGGATTAAGCGTCCTTATAGCTTTCGCTAGTGGCGTTTGGCTTCTCGTCTCGTTACCGTGGTTCGTTCTGGAGAAGAGACGTCCAGGACAGGATCCCCAGGGAAGCAATATCGTTACTGCCGGGTTGAAGCAGCTCGTACATGCGGCGAGACAGGTCTGGAAGTTGAAACAGAGCGTTATATATCTTATTGGTATGGATATATCTTCATTCCTGTAAATCACACTCAGACAATTGACATACATACTACAGGCTACTTCCTCCTGGGCGATTCCCTCAACACAACAGTGACCGTCATATCGACCCTGCAAAACAGCATCGTCTCCTACAACACACTCCAATTGACCTATCTCCTCCTAGTCGGCATCGCAGCCCAAGCCATCGGCATCTACGCCTTCTGGTACGCGCAAAAACGCCTCAACCTCAGCACCAAAACCATGTTCAACCTGATCGCTATCGCCATCATCCTCCTCGACGGTTGGGGCATGATAGGCATCTGGACCCAGAAGTTCGGCTTCCACCATCTCTGGGAAGTTTGGGTGAGTCCACCCCTTCAATATATACTACTACAACATACTACATACCTCTCCAACAACTAAACTAACCCCTTTGACAACGATGCAGCTCTACCAAGCCTACTACGGCCTCTTCGTCTGCCCCTGGTACAGCTACTCCCAGATAATGATATCAGAAGTTACACCTCGCGGCCACGAATTCCTCTTCTTCAGTCTGTTCAGTATCGTGGGCAAGACGTCCTCATTTATTGGCCCGCTCGTTTCAAGCGCTATTATTGATGCTTCGCCGTCGGGGAATAGCTCCACGCCGTTTTATTTCCTTTTCGGGTTGAGTGTGCTTAGTTTTGGGTTCTTGGTTGTGTTTTTGGATTTGGGCGTGAGTAGGGAGGAACAGAGGGTGTTTTTGAAGGGGAGGGAGGAGGTGGAGGAGGAGTAGGTTTTCTGTTGGGGGTAGTGAGGGTTTTGGTTATGTATTTGATAGTGGAAGTGTCTGTTTGGTTACTATGCTGATGGGGTGTTCTACGTGATGAGGATGCTACGAGTAGTATGGGTTGGCTACTAGTATGAAACAATCATAAAACTATTTAATCCTCGTACCATATCAGATAAAGCCAGCTGGAAAGACTAAAAGCTCCCAACTCAGTAAGTTATACATGACCAATCCCACTCAACACAGGCTTTTTTTGACCCCTTCCCAAATAACAGCAAGGGGCATAAGTGAGAAGAATAAAGTGAAAGAAAACTCCAGCCCATGCTATGCCTAAGCGCCTTATATATCGAACGTAGTATACGAAGGGTGATAACCGAAGCAAAGGAAAGAAAACAGAGACCGACAGAGGATATCAGGTCAAAAGGATGAGGCAGCAACTGCAGCAGGAGCAGCATCACGCCTCGCCATCCGACGCATCCTCTTTCGACTTGGACTTCTTCTTCTTCTTCTTTTCCTTCTTCTCGGCACCATCGTCGCCATCTACATCCGCGGCCTCGGAGTCGCGCTTCCGCTTCTTCTTCTCTTTCTTCTCCTTCTTTTCCTTCTTCTCCTTCTTCTTCTCCTCCGCAGCGTCCACCTCCTCGGGCGGCACGAACGCCTTCTCGCGCTCCTTCATCTTCTCCTCGCGCTTCAACCGCTGTCTCTCCATGACCTCCTCCTTCTGCTGCCGATCCTTCGCCTCCTTGGACAGGAAGTACTCGCCCGACTCGATCTGGAGATCCACCTTGCTCTTCTCCGGTGCCGGAGGGAAAGGAGTGTACACCTTCTTCGTCTTGTCGGTGACCTTGAACGGCACGCGACGCTTGGAGAGCGTGCGCTTCTTGAAGTTGGGCAGGAAGCGGTCCCAGGATTCGTTCGCCAGGGTGGGGTCCTTGGCCAGTTCGCGCTTGATCATGAGTTCCTTGATGTGGTAGATGGGGTGGATGTTGGCCATGCAGTCGTTGATGATGCGGCGGACTTCCTTAAGACCCTTGTAAGGGCCCATGGCGGCGACCGTGTTACCCTGGACCAGGATGTAGGTGCTTGTAAGCAGCTCTAGGGCTTTTAGGGTGGAACCACCAGGGCCGAGAATACGTTGGCGACGCTTGACAAAGCGCTCCTTGTTGCGGACTTGGTTGCGGATCTTGATGATGTCGCATGCGACGTCGTCTTCGAGGATTTTAAGAGCCTATTTAGTTTAGTGTGTTAGTAGGGTTGTTTTATTGGATAATCCTAGAATCATTATTCAAGGTGTTTACCTGTTGCACCGGCACACTTCTCGACAACAGCTTGATCAAATCACGGGCCTTGAGGATCGCAGCAGGATCGAACGTCTTTCGGGTCGTCTTGACGGTCATGCTACCTTCGACCAAATCCAGCGTGCAGGCAATACCGAATTTCTCGAGCGCTCTTGTCACAACGGGCCATGCTTCCTTCAGGTAGACTTCACGGTACTTGGGGAACAGAGTGGCGAAGGAAGATTCTTCAGCGAAACTACCGGCGACATTGTCATCGGGTTGGAAGGGTTCGACCTGGTCGCAACAAATTTGCAGTTAGTTTCGGACTGGTTTGAGACCTTCGCTGTCTTGGGTTATTGTGTGGTAGAGCATACCTTCCACTTGTCAATGTCATCCGTGTCCCACGGTTTGTCCCTCTTGTAGGTGGAAGGCATGATGAGTCCAGGGGTGGCTCTTGTGATCTGCGACGGTGATGGAGGGAGACTTGGAGTTGATGATCGAATGGCGGCCAACTTTTTCTGAGTCCCCGCGGGTGCTTACCCGATTGGGTAGCCCATTGGTGCCTGTAAATTAAGGTTTAAACAAGGCATCAAGGCCTGTATGAGATTCCCGCCGTAAGCGCCCAAGCGCGACTGAGATGATGATCGAGCGTCTGTGTGATGGAGGCTCTTACGGGTGGCTACGGCGTCACTATGGTCTGGGCTATGGGGCATGTTTCTGATCATTCACTAATTCTTGTAGGCATTCCATCGCGCAAGGAGAGGTCCAACATGTCTGACGGGTAAACCAGCTGCAGTAAGGGACGCTTTTGGTTGTTCGATCGATATGATACGGGGATTTGATGTATCAAATCCTGGTGGTTGGTGCGACCTTCTCGTAGAATTACGGAGAAGCCCCTGTTTAATTAAGCGACGTGCTGCTATTCTCTGATCCCGACCCATTTGGGCCCATCGCCAAAGCGGGTCACCAAAGATCTGTGTTCATTCCATGAAAATGGGTAGCTGTATGACTTCGGCCTGCCTGGATGTTTCGGGCTATGATGGATTTGCCATCATCGCTCCTCGGCTTGAAGTGGTCATTGAGCATTCCTTGAACCTGGCTGGTTGACAATGGCTCCTGTGAGCGGCCCTGGGTATCATTGGGGCTTGTGCGGCAGTCTGCTCTAAATCGGACTGAAATGACGGGAGATCAATAGGCGAAGGGGGATGTGGAAACGCCAAATAAGCACCCATGGCCAGTCTATTGTAGTAACAGAGCGAGGTACATGCTCCGGTAAATATGCAGCAGTAAGAGTCCTTTCTGCTGGTAGGATAGGTCAAGGCTACCATCGCGTCAAGGCCCAAAGGAGCACCCCAAATGGGGCGACGGGGCTCGATCCATTAAGGACGGGCTGGCAATGACTGCGTAGACCATTGTCTTGCCCCATGTGCTCTTGAAAGAAGTCCTCGCGGACTGTTATCCAGACGCGGGTCGCTGCGAGGAGAGCATCTGGGCCTGAGCTTATCTTGGGGCGGTCATTTCTGATCGAGTCAGTCCGTGGGCAGGACTCAGGCACACCTGGACCCGTGGCTCTGGTTCCGTCCCGAAACGCTGTTTCCTCCTCTCTTCTCGTCGCCGTAAATCTTGTTTTCTTCTTCCTCCTTGATTTACCCCTTTGTGTCCCTGAACTTTGTGGTTCCATCATTTCATAGTCATTCCTGGAGTGTTAGCTCTGCTCTTTCCCTCCCCATTCATGACTCGTTCAATATCCGCAATTCACCTTCCGAGATGAGCTAATTGAGCCACCCGATTTACCACCGGCACTTCCCTCTTGGTGGGGTGATTCTTTATTAGTGGTGGCTGGCCCATCACTCCCCTCATCGGTGGTCGTCAGCAATGGTAATGGCCAGCTTCCGTTTGTCTCTCTATTCATCTGTCCAGTCAGTTGCAATGAGCATGGTTCCTGCCCTGTCCGCATAGCTCCTTCCTGTTCTTGATTTAGTAGAAGCCAAGTCCAGCCAGATCCCGAACTCAATCCGTTAGTGCATCGCTCGAGATACCTCAAGTGAACTCCATCACTTTCACCAGTACCACTGGACTCATTACTCCGGCAATTCTATGCTTGTCCAGGCCTGGGACGGCTTTGGTGGCCCGCAGGACTCGACCACGGTGATTTAAAAACGTCTGGAAACTTCTTGGCGTCATAACAGGCTTTCAAAGAAGATCACTGGGATGGAGAGTCTTCGAAATATGCGTGATGGTATACTGGGGCTCTAATCTGCTGATCAAATGAAAGCTTATTGCGGAGGAAAAATGTGTGAAGGGGCTTCTTTGGCTGGGCATTGTCTAGCTTATCTCGAACTCCGACCTCGAAGTCAATACCTAAACAGTACCGGTTCCCATCAATGCACCCCAACGATATCCCCGATCTGCTGCGTCCCCAATTTTGCATTTGCAAGACCGCTACTCCAACCATAAGACCCTCTATGATGGCTTTCGTCCGATAGCAACGTACCTGAATCGTCAGCCTGAATTTGGACCATTCGAACGACCCACTTACAAAGGGAAATATGTTTTCAGGCTCGGGTTTTCCGCCTCTTTCTGTGCTTGGTCGATCAGCTGCTGAAACTCGTCGTGCGACATGTGCAGGCGTTGGGTCAAGGGGTAGAGTGCTACTGCGGTGAGCAGGTGTCTGGTGATCTTGCGGCTGGCTTTGCCTATGTCCCGCATCCTCGGTTCTACTGGATTGTCAGAGGTTTTTCCACTAATACTGGCTTGGAAGAACTCACCGCTGGACCATTCGCAGAGGGGGACAGGTATCATCGTGGATTCGACTTCCTTCAGCCCTGCTGCTAGCAGGAGATCTCTGAGGCGGGTGCCTACACGAAGATCTTTGACGTCTTCCACTGAGCTCATGAGCTTTGTACTCCACTGTCTCAATGCGTGCTTCTCCGTGAGCGAACCGTTGTCCGACTGGACGTTGAAGTAGATCTCGACCAACTGCACCCAACCGCCTGGTTTCAGAACTCTATTCCACCTTGAAGTCAGTCTCGCATTATCTTCACAGCATCCGTGACCCTAGGGCCCGCTCCTTACAACCGGACCTTTTGATGTCTTGTATGTATGACGACCATCGGGATCCATCGATACCTGTTGCCATCATCCTCGAATTGACGAGATCGAAATATCTAGGGGGGAAGGTAAAGGGCCGGTTCAGATCGTCGACCTACGGAATCAAAGATTAGATTCATCTGGATGGGGACAGTTTGACAAACATAGGTTTCAATTTTGAGAGGGATTGTGTGCTCTGGCACTGTGCAGAGGCACACTCATAGGTGTCAGGAGAGAAGAAGGAGCCTTACTTGAAACTCCAAATTTTCCGCCACATCAAAATCATCATCGTCGCCATCTGGTATCATATGAGGGGATATATCAACACCGATGACCTTTAATTCAGTTATGCCGTTAGTCATTCAGAAAATGACAGCGCTACTTGCCCGGATCTAACCTCGCATTCTGGAAATTCTTCTGCTACCTGGATAGCCCAGGACCCCGCGCCGTGACCACAGTCAAGAACTCTTTGCGGCTCACAGTTTCGCGGGAAGATCAGCCGATTATCAAAGATCTTGTTGAAGACTTTATTCTGGAGCTCGAGCCGATTCGCTTCATCCTAGTAAGAGGGAAGTCAGCCATGGCCTTTTGTGGCGCAAGGTTGTTGGCTTCTACACGATCAACTGGCTGAAAGGATATCTCATTATCAATCGAGTATTGCTGGTATTCGCGTCCGTGAACGGTTATTGTGTGCCGATACGTCTCGTCCAAATTTTCCGTCTGCGAGTCAGGGCTCCTTGTTGATGGAAGAAGGTTAGTCTCTCCTGACAGCACGCACGGGTCATGGCAACGGGCTGTGTACGTCATCGTTATTTCGTTCCCCAGGGAAACTGTATATGTGCTGAGGTGGTTATGTTGATGTGTGGCAAAAGAAATTCAGTGCAAAAGGGGTTTCTATAATGTGGGAGAAGGTGCAATGGAGGCTGTGTGCTCAGTGGATGTTCCAAAAGCGGTTGATGCGGCACGCACCAGAATTCGGAGGGCGATAAAAGTCCCACTGGGCACAGACAAGGAAGTACTATCTTGGCCTCGCTGAACGAGCTGGGGGAGTACTTACTATGCGGGACTCAGCGTCCGTACGTTTTAGTACGGATGATGGAAATTTCCGCTCTATGCAGGACCAAGCATCTGACTGGGGGCAGAAAGACCAAAAACCATATATCATTGGCAGGTTGGTCCTGAAACGTATTTCCGAGAAAGCAAGACCGGATTCAGGATAATCCATGATCTAACTACACTATTTCGTGGATTGTTGGGTGTACGCCTTGCTTGGGTCGAATACATGCTTATTCGGGCATTGGATAGATTGCTACTATGGTCCAGGGGAAGGAGGGGCTGATAGTCCCTTCCGGAGGGGTCAAGAATTCCGACAGAATAAGCATATGGGTAGCCCAGGATGACTCCTTGGGCCCAGCCTGTAGGCCACGACCGGCTGCAAACCTGGAAGGCCGGTGGCACAATGGCTTTGACCATTCATCGGCTCGTTTCCCTTGTCCATAAGGCGAAGGATTCGCGCTGTCTTCCTCGCGATGACCGGGGCGCAGAAAGTTTGTTGTTGTTACTAGGCTCGTATCGTGCCTGCTCAGATGCAAAGGAAGCTGTGTCGCATGAGCCAAGCCAAGTACTAGTGAGTCTACTTCCTAAGCCACAAACTAAGAACTTGATAGCCACACAGAGAATCTTTTTTGTCAAGTAACTATAGATGACAGCCTTGTGATTCATCTGGTTCAGATATGAGCCTGACTGTAAGTGTGCGAGGCTGCACCCAGGCAAATGAGGTGGTGGGACGTTACGAATGAACTGCATTGTTCAACCGCTCATAGGTCATATTCTGTATGACCATATTCATGCACAGGGGAGGGGGGAAGCAAAGCGAGGCCGGAGGGGGTTGAAACTGTCAAAAATTCTGAGCTCCACTCAAGGAGCCAGTCAAAGACTCAAAGTTAGGGTCACCTAGTCCCGTCGCATTTATTGGAGGCCAAAGATTTCTCGGGGTTTGGAGGCGCAGAGCCGTCAGGATTCCTGGATTCGTCCCGCTGTCACGTTCAAGGCAGAAACGACTCTCCATCACGGCGACCACCTGGGATTTCTACTACCATACAAGATATTCAGGGACATAATATATGACGGCATCAATGCTAAAACAGGTGGGGTTGTCTGCTGAACGATTGTAAAGCACAGGTAGGCGAATCTAAAAGGTCGGGGAGGTGCTAAGTCTGCCACTAGCCCGGCCAATTTCGATGCAGGATTTTCTTGCTCCTTCTTATTATGACACTCGCCCTGCATCCACACACTCACCGCTTCTTTTGGTATCGCGCAATGATCTAAGGGCTTAGTAAATGCGACTAACAGCAACCTGAGATGGCCGGTTCACGTCGAGGCTGGCAGAGTTTTTGGCGTGCGACCGCCCCTGAAGGACAGACCAATGGCGTCTCCCGTGGCGAATGAACAGTGACTTTGAGTCCAACTGAGCGACAGATGATCGGGACCTAAAGGATGCGGAGACTTTTAGACACAACTGTTCTGGGAAACGGCCGATACAGCACTGTCCCCATATCAGGTCCGGTACTGACTCCTTCCTCTCCCCTATACCGTGACCCAGTCTCGAATACAATAGGAGACTCAAACCCGAGGAGAAAGCATTCCTGTGACGAACGGCCGGGCTCCGCAGAGGTGACACATGAAACGCGGTTTGCCATTCAGCCGAATTGCTGGTGGCTTCGATGGGGACAAATGGCCGACCCGTCTGTTCCATTAGCTTTGTGCCAAGAGCGTGCACTGATGTGGCCATGATATTCCCCGAGCGCAACCCATGCATGCAGACAGGGAGGTCATGCATGTCAAGCCGTCAGACGGGCTTGAGATTAGAGCATCCATGCCGTCGGGTCTGACATGGGAAGAGGACATGGGCACAGGGCACGCAGATAGTTGGCGGCAAACCCAGAACCATGGTTCAGCTTCGGGTAGGGGAAGGCCTGCCGTCGGGGCCTATCTACGGGGCGGTTAGGCCCGCTAGTGCCCTGGGGCAGTGCCCACTATATTTGCGGCAGTTGTCAGTAGTGCTACTGTCAACAGACTTGAAGTCTGAAGGATCGTGAAGAATATCTAATAGATGAGGGGCGTTATGTAGTGCTGAAGGTAGGTGTTCTCGTTCTATCGTTTTTGGCACATCCACTGCAAGGTTTTCAGGATTGGAATATGCGTCTCAAAGTGTCCGTCTCGGAACTAGTAATCCATGGTGCCCTGATCATCACCACCTTATTATGCAGGAAAATATATGAGTTCACATGAGTGAGAGAGGGGCGCTTTCTTCTTTTTTTTAGCGTACAAAATTTGACTAGTGTATTATACAATGGGTCATGCTATACGTAACACACCCGACCTTGCCGAGTACTTCCTTTCCTTCGGAATATTCTTTCTTCACTTCACCTCCTCGCCAGTCAAATACCTCAGACTGGCCTTCATAAGACTCAGCACCAAAGTAACCTCCTCCTTCGTCCTCGGCGCATAGATCAACACATACTCAGATGGCAATTGGATCAATTTACCGCCCATCAAAGCCCTGGGAATCTCCACACCACTGAACCCATGTCTCTGACCCCAGCCAGCATCGAAAACTTTCTTACCTGCAGAAATCAGCACCAGTATCCAGAAAACAAAGAGACCAGTCCATCCACACATCCAAACACAGACACGCCGAACACTGTCAAACTCAGATAAACAAAAGGGAAAGGAAGAACTCACAATCGGCAGGGGCCAAAACCATATGCAACGAATAATCCTTCAAGCGATGGACATGCACACACTCGCCATTCAATTTCCTCGTCGTCTCATTCCTATTAGCCAACTCCTCCGTCGCAAGGAATATCGCACCCGCATGCAGCTCCAATCGCGAATCGGCAACTTTGATTAATTGCGGGTTCTGCTCTGCGAGGGCGTAGAATTGCGAGTCGAGGTACTACACACATACTATTTATTAGTCTAGTCTTCCACTTCTTCTTGAATATACATTTTCCAACCAAAGATGAAGCAATTTCAATTCAAAGAAAGAAATAAAGAAATGGAAAGATACACACCATCTTCACCTCCTCCCCCGCAAACTCCTCCACCTGGCGCTGCGGCACATAATGCGGTCCGACAGCGGGTCTCTTCTCCCTCTTCAAAGCGTTGAGCAAATCTACCGTGTCTTCGGAGAGGTATGATTGCGTCTCGCCGTTCGCGATCTTCTTCTCGTAGATTGTCGTGCTGGTCATGTTGCGTCCGAATGGGTAGAGGAGGAATGTCACCCCGAACCAGCCTAGAAGGTTGTATGGGGCGCCGCCGGGCCCGTAGGATAGGTAGGTTTTGTAGTTTTTGTAGAGGAGGGGGAGGAGGAGGGTTGTTAGGGTGGTTAGTGTTATTGTTTGGCGGGATGGGGATTGGAGCCAGGATTGGGGGATGGGGAGGGGGAGGGGGAGGGTGGATTTGAGGGTTGTGAGGAGGGAGGGCATATTGATGGTTGTGTATTCTTGGTGTTGGTGGCGTTGGTGTTGGTGTTTGGGTGGAGGGTTGTTGGGGGGTTTTGTATAGGTAAGATGGTATGGTGTTTAGATGTCACGATGATGGTGCAGTGAGGGGGAGGGGGAGGGGAAATGGGAGGGATACAAGGGGTTCATATATTCATTCATTCCTCTATTAAGTGAGATCATGTCACTGGCAGGTGATCTGATGCATCGATATTTGCCGTGCTTATTATTACTATTGTTGTTATTATTCTCCGATGTATTCGCGATCGGGTTCGCAGGCTTATATTCTACATGTCTTAGATGGTGAGAGCGCGAGCTTACTGTCACTATCTTTATCTTCCTATGGATTGGAATGATGCAAAACTAATACTCTTCTGGTAAGCGTTGCGATACTCATTACTGGGTGACAGCAGTCACGGTCGGGGATTCCATCCGAGGGATTCCGATTCCGGGTTGCCTTATTGACTCATAGCCATAGAACGGGACTATGGATCATTCGGGGCGGAAATTTAGGTGTGATTTTGTTCGTTCATAATATGTCATTCATTGCATTGCATTATTCAGTAGAGTAGTGGGTATTCGCAAATCATCATCGGGCGTCAAGCATGTCCCGTCCGTCCGTCTTTCTTCCTGATACTCCAGCCTTGCCGTGGCTAACACATAGGTAATAAAACAAAAAACTATAGAGGGGTGAAGGGGTGAGGTGAGGTTGTGTGCAGAAACTCCCAATTCGTCTCTGCACTGCTGTTCGCAAGCGCGGCCTATATGGCTTTGGGATGGGCCTGTAGAAGTCCCTCATTAAGGGACGGTCTCGCACGGCTGTGTTAGGTGCCAGACGTCGCCGCGTGCTGTAGAGGATCATCGGCTTGAATATTATTCCAAACTGCGAAAGTGGTGAGGTTACCCTCGGAACCTTTCAGTGGAGATAGTAAGGTTCTCGCTTCAGTCGTCTTTACTGATCGCGCTCAAGGCATGCGCCAGCTTAAGAAGAACGACACTTTCAGTCGCAGCGTAGTAGTTCAAGCTACATTACCATTAGCGTTGTCGTCAACAGCATGAAAGGTATTCTTACCTGTCCATCAGAATCCGCAGATGCCGGTTGAAATGCTCCTCGCATCGTCTCAGCGTCTCCTCCAGCTTGTCGATACGGGACGGGTCATATCCTCGCCCATCTGAACCAGCGGCTTTGTTTCCCGCCAAGTCAGGGTCCGCTGAAGCAAGCGCGCGCGCAAGAGAGGATGTGGCCCAGGAGGAGAACATGGTGCAGCAGGTCATGAGTCGATGGTGGATCTGGTCGATTATTAGTAGGGATGGGATCATAGTAGGCTTGTTGACAAACCTTGAGCAGCTTAGCCTGCGTCAGCATGCATTCCTTGAGGCATGTATCCAGAAAGTCCACATGATCCTGCATCAGCTCGTCCACAGTGCGATTGACTTGTTTGGTGCCATTGACAGTCACCTCTGAGCCGTCGGCGTCAGTGCCATTTACCCGGTCCATGAGGTTCTGCCAGTTGGGCTCTACGACCTCCGCCGTGCAAAAGTAAAGGAGCTGCTGGACAAACACCAACATCTTGGACCGCAAGTTCCACGCTCGCCTCTTCCACATCTCTAGTCGTCGGTCAGAGGACTTGTGCCTCCAGGCAATGACCTTGCTCTGGTCTAGCCACGATGTGACAAGCATGGTTTCAATGTGACGGAGTGACAGTATGTGTCGGAAAATCAGCTGGTACCGGAGAACCGTTTTGCGACTGATTACAAGGGATAGCGGGAATGGAACAGAGTAATCCAGCTCCAACGCATCGAAGCCCAATATATCCTTGTCATCCTCTGCACTCTGGCTTGTAGGTGCCTGGTACTTCTCGATGGCCGCCTCCGGATTGTCTTGATCGATGCCGGAAACGCTGACAACCTGCATCAGCCATTTCGTGAGCCCGACCTTGTTCATTCGGACCTTGACATCTTCCTTGAATGGGTCCTGAGCCGCGATACTCCCGGGCTGTCGCAATACCAAATCGAGAAGCGATTGGAGCTTGCTTTCGTTGACATTCTTGGCGGGCTTGCGTAGTTCAGATGCGCCGAGCTCGAGAAAGTAGGAGAAGAAGTCGGACCGATCTAGGAAAAAATAGTGCTTGAGGGAACGGAAGCGGGTCGTAAGGGAGTTCTTCGTGAGGAGAAGGTTCAACAGCGATGCGTTGGCATACGTGTAGGCTGCGTTGACGTTCTCTAAGAAGCGAGGGTCGTCGAGGGTTTTTGGAACATCTTTCACTGCTTTGCTAACATCGACGCCACCACATTCTCGCACAACATTCAGGTACTTTCCGGCCAGAAGTACTTTGTCCTTGACGCTTTCGAGTTGTGGTGGAACCTCGTTTTCGCGAATTGTATATCGCTTCTCCCAGTATTCGTCTGTGTAATCTTCCTCGAGCTTCTCCCGCTTGATCCACTTTTGCTCTTTAACAAGGAACTCACCATGTGGGTCCTTGATACCTCCATGGTGTAACCATTCATTAAGCATTGTCATGTACGGCCGACTAGCGTCCCGAAGCAGCCTTTCCAAGAGAGCTTTCGTGGTCGGGTCGCCTGAAAATGTCGTCAGTTGCTCAGTAAGGAGCCGCAAAACATTGCCGCCTTTGCAGATCCTTTTGCTAGACATTGCCCCAGGTACAAGCTCTCCACCCTCTTTGAGTTGTTCCAGGATATTGTCCACATCGTCAAAATCGTCGATTGACTCGTCGAGATCTTGGTCTAAGAGTCCGTTCCGTCGAAGTAGCTCCTGACCCAAAGTATACAGCTGAGCCAAACATTGGCTCGTCGGCATGAGGTGTAAATGAAGAACATGTAGCGTGAAGCTCGGGTTGTTCAGTAATTCGTGTTCTAGCTGGGCAACGAGGACCAGGTACTCTTTGAGTAATTTCCGAATCGTCGCACATAGCGCATGGCTGACTGCTCCGTATTCTGCGCGGCTCTGTACCTCCACAAATGATTCTAGCGCACTGTAATGAGTCGCTATTTTCAGGGTCGATAGTGTAAGCTCCTTTAGGGTCGGGTCCATTCCCGAGGGTAGCTGGAAAGAAGGTCCCGTCAACCTGTCCTTCTCCTGGGACGGGTCATATGACCGGTAATGAATGTATTGGCCCTCAAATCCCATAAAAACGTAAAGCAAATCCTCCAGTATCGCCTTTTCCTGCGCATCGGCTGAGAGCTCGCGAAGCGGTGTTGGTTGAAGCGATTGAGGCAGAGCGGAAGCCAAAGGAGGAAACGATACTCGACTAGCTAACGGTGCTGTGGAATGGGGCATTAACGAAGCCTGAGGGTTCCATGGAGCTGGAGCAATATATAGTTAGCGCGCGAACATCTCTAAACCTGTCAGCAGCTCAAGGAAGTGAAACTGACTCTCCACCGGTTGCTTATCCTTCTTTCGGGAATTGGGGCTGGCCCCCTCAGGTTGACTCGGTCCTCGTTTAGATCGGGACCTCTCCATGAATTCACCTCTATTGCCTGCACTGGACGACTCCTTGACCGGGTTCCTCGTTCGGACTTGGGACTTGTCTCGCGTATGCATCGCCATTCGCTCGGTACGCTTGTCGCTGACGATAGGTTGTTGGTCGCGGGACGATCTGGTTTTCTGGCTGGAGGTGCTCCCGCGATGGTCTATATTCTCCGATTGCAAGGGGGAAGCAGCGCTGCGCAGACCGGGCTTCTCAGCGTCGGCGACGCGGTTGGACGCAACGCGGGGTCTCGGGGCGCTCATGTAGCTGGCGCGACGCTCATTGACGGACATGGTCCCGCAAGGTCGAGGAAGATAGGAGGGACAATCATGCAGCCTGTGCCACTAACACCATTGAATGAAGTGAACAGTGTGTAATTTCAAATCCTGGGGAGAAACAGCAACCATTGGACCCGGACTACACGTCCCGAAGCCGTAGTTTTGGGTTCCATCCGGGCAAAGCAAACAGTCGCCCGTGGATGCCTGACTGCGGCCTGGGGCAGCGACCGCCCTCTCCGCCAGGCACTCGCCGGACTTGCGTAGACAACCGCAACAGCTTCGCCCGAGCTTCCCCAAGAGCTGCTGCCAACTCTACCCTCCTCCCTCTATCTCCTACATCCCAATCTCGTCTTTCTCCCCCATTCTTCCATACCTTACCTCCATCCCACTAATTGTCATTACATCTCCCACATAATCCAACATGTTCATTGCCCGCTCAGAATACGGTAAGCTCCGTCAGACCTCCCCCTCTGATGCGGTCATCTAACTAACAGCTTTCCTTGACAGACCGTGGAATCAAGTACGACTCTGATGCCCCTTTCCTGCATAGCAATGCGAATACATACAGTGTCTAACCATGCGATAACAGCACCTTCTCTCCGGAGGGGCGTTTGTTCCAGGTCGAATACTCTCTCGAAGCTATCAAGCTGGGCTCAACAGCGATCGGTGTACGTGCATCTGTTCCTGCCCGACTACATCTGAAGCCGCTCCAAACCATCAACTACACTCATACCCTTCATTCATTTTAACATACTTCTAGGTCGCCACCTCCGAAGGTGTCATCCTAGGTGTCGAGAAGCGTGTCACCTCCAGCCTCCTCGAGGCCTCCTCCGTCGAGAAGATCGTTGAGATCGACCAACACATTGGCTGTGCCATGTCCGGTCTGCAGGCAGATGCCCGGTCCCTGGTCGAGCACGCCCGTGTCGAATGCCAGAACCATGCCTTCCACTACGCCGAGCCGCTGAGAGTCGAGAGCTGCACCCAGGCCATCTGTGACCTGGCCCTGCGATTCGGAGAGACGGGAGATGACGAGGAGAGCGTCATGAGTCGGCCTTTCGGTGTCGCCTTGCTGCTTGCTGGTATTGATGAGGATGGTCCGCAACTGTATGTTGGATGTTTTCCTGCTTACTCACCTGCGGGACTGTGAGCCAGTTACTGGGAAAGTGTGTACTGATCGATCCTGCTTATTTTAGATACCACGCGGAGCCGTCCGGAACGTTCTACCGATATGATGCGAAGGCTATCGGGTCCGGAAGCGAGGGTGCGCAGGCGGAGCTGCAGAATGAATACCATCGTTCCTTGACGCTGGGTGAGGCAGAGACTCTGGTTCTCAAGACGCTGAAGCAGGTCATGGAGGAGAAGCTGGACGCGAAGAATGTTCAGCTCGCTAGTGTGACTAAGGAGAAGGGCTTCCGTATTTACGATGATGAGGAGATGGGTCGGGCTGTTGCGCAGCTGGGCAGCAACCAATAAGGGAGGAGGGCCTCTAAGCATGAAGATATAATGGGCCAACGAGTATATCAGCAATAGTTCGTCCTGTCCGGACTGGTAATTGTCTTGGTATCCATAGAAAAGAACAACGACCTCGTCTAATGACTTTGAATGCTTAAATGCCCCGGCCTTCTTTTAATTGCAACCTAACTTTTTTCTAATGACCAAACAAGCAGCCGATGATATCATAGTATATACAGATGGCTAGTAATTGTAACACCCAAGTTCCGATCACAGCTATCTACCGGATCTTGTAGACACAAGGCTTGAGAACAGCGGCCTCTTCCTCCGCAGTCATCCCTTTGTCAGCGAGAGCCGACCTGTCGATGAACCTCTTCTTTCCAGGACCAGCAGCCGCGCCTGTCGTCGAGGCATATTTACCCTTGGTAGGAGCACCACCCGCCTTGACGAACTCCATCTTCACAAACATCTTATTGGACTTGTCAACTGACTCGGGCTTCAGAACGAAGCCTCGCGTGCGGAACACCTCCACGAAAGCAGAAATATCCGTCTCATCGTCATTGTCAGCAGGACGAGCATCTTCAGCATAGATATCTGCGTCATCCACGTCTGAGCCTTCATCATCACCAGCCTTCTTCTTGAGCTTCTTCTTCTCGGACTTGCTGAGCGGCTTCTTCGCTCCAATCTGTGCCTTCTTGCGGTGCACCTTACCAAAGCGACTCTTGACTTCACTGACCCAGCACTCGCCCTTGCCGTCACTGCGCAGGACCCGCCATGCTTCCTCCACGAAAGAAACCCAGTTGGTGCCCATCAGACTGAGACAGAAGACAGTCACATCGACAGAGCCGTCGGCCAATGGGAGGTTGGAGATGTCTGCCTTGGTGATCGGAGAGCCCTCGGGGGCATGAAGATCGTAGCTGAGAAGCTTGAGGTTCAGCTTCTGGGCGGAAGGCAACAGAGCGCGGGCGAGCTGGGCGTCACCGCAGCCAAGGTCAGCAATGGTGCACAGCCCGTTGGGCCGACGAGGAAGCGCGAGAGCGGAATTCCGCTTGTTGTCGAACTTTCCTTTTTTGGGAGGACCACGGACTGCCCCTCTACCGCGGAAGGCCTTGATGTAGCCATCGACAGGGTTGGAAGGCCAGGACTCCTTGACCTGGCGAGAGAAGCCAGCGTGGTACTCGTCGAACAGTTCCGGGTTCGCGCTAAAAAGCTCAAAGGCCTTGGCTGAGGGTGTCGTGTAGAGCGTCTCGTTCAGATGGCGGAATCGGGATGAGATCAGCTTCTGTCGCATAGCTTGTTGGAGAGGAGTAAGGATGGCTTCTGTTTTCGGTGGAGCAACCGGCAGGGACTCCGCGGCTGGAGTCTCAGTTGAAGCTTCTTGCTGCTGGTCCTTGTTCTTGTTCTTGTTCTTCCTCTGCTTCTTGTTGGCGGGCTTCCCTTCCTCCCCGGTAGTCTCGGGCTTTTCTTTGGGCTGCTCTTTCGTCTCCTGACTCTGCTTTCCCTGAGCATCTCCACCCTTCTTAGGCTTCTTATCAGCCTTCACGGCATTGTTGTTCGCATTCTGCTTCTGGCCTTTGGGAGTCGGTTTCTGGCCCTCGATATGCCGACGGTACATCTCATCCACATTGCCCTTGGTGACATGATCTTCGCGCTTGCGCTTCTTGTCCCTGTTGTTGATGGGGGTACTATTAGCCCCAGTTGAGCTCTTGGACGAAGATTGCTTCTGGGACGCTTCGGCCTGCTGCTGCTTGAGAGCAGAGGTCTCGAGGGACCAGCCTGGGACGGCGAACATGATTGTGTTCTCAACGAAGACCTTCGCTGCAAGACTCTTCCAGATTATTCGGCTCTCTCTAAGGAAAATCTGGTGGCTCTAGACCGGAAATATCGGCGTGGACGGTGAGGAGAAATCCCAAAAATTTCTGGCAATAAAAGGCGGAGAATGGCAGCGGGCGGCTTTCTGCCATATGGACAAGGGCGGTCAGAACAGTGGTTTCAGTACACCATTCCCTTTTTGGAATGTATTGCGATCTGGGGTCGTGATAGTCAGGTGAATTTCAGCCTTCCAGTTCTGGCTACAAACCAACTCGAGGTAACGAAGATGTTGCTGTAATTGATCTTCGTTTGGGGGCTGCCTTACACGGCGATCGTTGTTCAGGGTATGATGGTACCGTCATGGCGACTCATAGATCGTTCGATCATAAGGACCAAACATGGATCGATTTGAAGGCGAAGGCACCACCAGGCAGCTCCTTATGGTCATATACAACAGACATTATCACCTTAATGACCTGCCCCTCGATATCAACTATTCAAAATGCATTGTGAAGATGTGCTGACTTCCATCCAGCGGGGCAGCCTTACTGCCTGAGGTGCTCAATCTATGGATTTCAGCCAATCACACAACGCATCGGCTGGGCGGCAGAACTTCCCCGTCGGATCTCCCCACGCATTATTCGCTGCTGCTCTTCTTTACACCCACAGGCTATGAGTCTCCACATCGGAATCCTTGACTCGGTACCTAGTCTAGGCGCCTTACAGACTATCGGTTGCTGTCTTGTGACTATGGAAACGAACTTGCGCTCAATTCCCTGCCGCCATGCAAGCAACCGACCATACCCGGAAATCACTACAAGACCCATCTGCCAGTGGGCCAAAGGCCGCGCCGGGTCCTGACACTTCGGCGGAAGTGCAGGGAGACTCCACGACGGCGGTTTCGGGCAGTGGATCTACTCAGAAAGTGCCTAAGAAACGCACCAAGTCTGGATGTCTAAGTGAGTCTCCTCGGTGAGCGTAGCGTGTCTTAGCGACTCGAGCTTACCAGCCCTAATAGCTTGTCGGCAACGTCGCATAAAATGTGGCGAAGAGAAGCCCATTTGTAACAATTGTATCAAGTCAAAGCGCGATTGCAAGGGCTATGGCCCTCGCCTAGTCTTCAAGGATCCATTGGGCATTACGGGTACCTCCTCGCAACCGGCAGCCATCAGTTCACAGACCTTCAATGTGCCACCTCCCAGCGAGGATATCAATAATGCTGTCTTCCAGCAAAGACAAGCCTGGTCTGGCCAACCGGCCCTTGCTCCAAAGCCCGTTGCAACCGCAACTTTGGAGCAGACTCCCCAGCCTGTCACAGCCGCGTCGCCTCATGAGTTTCAGATGCCAAGCGCAGCACCGTTCCAGCCGCAGTCACATACTCTGTCGCAACAGGAATATCCAGTACTCCGTGAGCCGGCAGACACCTTAGCTTTCCTGGACCAACAACGGTCAGCTGGCTTAGAGCCGCAGTACCAGACTGATACAGGCATAATCTATCCGCAAACATCTTCTCGGGCACCCGGCGAAAGATTTGCACCCCCAACCTCATATCAGGTACTATCAAATGTTGAAGAAGAACGCGAAGACGACTATTACGATCTTGATACAGACGAAGAGAGCCATGAGCAGACCTTAGCCCAAGATTACAATCAGCTCAGCCTTATCATGGCATCCGCTAATCGCGACCAGCAGCAGCTTCGAACTTTCACCACATACCTGAACGAGCCTAACATACTTACCTCTTATTCCCCAACTTATGGCTCCTCACCACTGAACAATCCGAAAACGGCACGCATTTTCTTGCATTTTATCCATTCGACCGGGCCAACTCTATCCGTTTTTGAGCGGCATCCAATTGATCCTTCCACCATGTTGGGGTCCCCGGTCCCAATGGCACAACAGGGACTCTGGACCTATACGCTTCCTCTCAAAGCCTTGGAGAATCAGCCATTACTGCAGGCCATCCTAGCTTTGAGCAGCCTACATATTGCTTACCTGCAACAGGCCCCGCCAACAGTTTCTCTGAAGCACTACCATTATGCTCTCAGAAGAGTCGGTGTCGCAGTTGGCCTACCCATGCGGCGCAAGCAGATCAGTACTCTTGCTGCTACACTTTTGCTAGGATACTACGAAGTAATGGGGGCCGATCACTCCAAGTGGAATAGTCATGTCGCAGGGTCGGCTCAGCTGGTGCGCGAGATTGACTTTGCTGGCATGACCCGTAGCCTGCGTGCTCAGCGGCGCAGGGTGTGGCTTGAGCGACATCACAGGGGATCCTCCGTTATATCCATAGTGGAACCCTCATATTCAGTCAGCTATGGTTCAGAAGATGACCCTTTCGCAGAAAAGGAACATGACATCGACGAAGATTTGATAGGCAGCCTTATTGGCCGGGCTGTCAGTTACGACGAGTTCGGACAGGTCGATGATGGCCAAGCCAGCTCTCGTCCCGAGAGACATTTCACTAGGAAAGACATTGAAAATTTTCGTATCCAGTGCGATCTCTACTGGTGGTATTTGCAGCAGGATGTCATGCAGAGCATTATTAGTGGCGGTCCGTTATTGTCAGTAACATCCCCAATCTTTCATTCATGTACCATCAGACTGACAGTAGCAGCATTTCGTACTCTCAATGGGGACAGTGTCCCCCGCGCGCCGGAATGGGTCGACTGGATGCTATATACGGCTCAGCGGATCACCTGTGGCTCTTACTGGGACGACTGGCAGATTTTGGTGTTCGGGACAGAAAGCGGAAGCTGAGAGCAACAGAGGCTACGGGATCACAGTGGCGACCTGATTCCAGACTCGCTAGGTTCATGGCTCGTTTCACAGGGAGGGCGCCGGAACAGCAAGAAAGACCGTCGGCCGGTGGCCCTGTGCAGCCTCCTTCCGGTGCGCCAGCGGCTGGTCCGCCGTTCTATGGTATGGCTCCGCCCCGCGGACCAAGACATCCTCCACCAGCCTTTGTCGATTTTCCTCACCATGGCCATCACGATGATGAAAGCGCCGGGAACAGTTCATACGAAGAGGCTGAGGTTGAGTGGGAGAGTATGTTGATGGCATTCGACACATTTGAAAGCGCTCTCGGTCCGTATTTCATGCCTCTGCCTTCCGACAGTGTGACCCCGATATCGTCTCCTTTCGGGCTTGCTCTGCAGTACCGGACACATACTATAGCCGTTCTGTGGGGATATTACCTCACCGGCCGAATTCTCTTACATCGGTTACATCCATCGATGCCTCCCGCCATGATGGTATCTGCAAAGGTAGCGGCGCCGACTACGGCAGGATACTCCCAGGCTATTGGAAGAATCGCGGCCGGGATCTACAACTCACAAGTATCTCATTTAGACGCCGGGAGTCTGAGCCCGACACTCGGATCATGTCTTATCAAGATGACCGTGCCGATCTTCTTCGCAGCAATCCAATACACCGACCCCGCACAACGAGATTGGGTCATAACAAGGCTGCGCAGCCTCTCCAAAAAGAGTGGTTGGAAGACGTCCGAATCTATAGCCAACAGTTGTGAGAATGCGTGGAGAGTCGCTGCGAAACAAGGTCGTGGACCTCCGTATGAGCGGAAAGACACGACCGAGTACGAACGGGCATCAACGTGGACACCACCCGTTCAAGAGACACCCTTGGGTAACCCCGGCGAAAGACGTTTTGTTACCGTCGCCAGACGCCCATCTGAAGCCGGCTGGGCTATGGGACTTCTAAGCCTGGAAGATGACGTACTGAACCTCTCAATCGAGGATCGGGTATGAGTACTTCGTAGTAGTTGCTGGCTGGCAAGGTTTCATTCAAGAACAGGCCAATAGATTGCAAGCCTGAATTACAAGTCAGTAGAAACGTTGTCAGTCAACGTCAAGCCACACGATCTATCGATTTTTCTATTGACAAGGGCCCCTGAAGCAACCATGGCAACACCATATTTATTCCCTTGTCATCAAGGTGTCACAGACGACAGCATGACATCTGGATTGTGCTGTCTCCACCCTCGTTCGAGACCTGCAACGGAGCTGCCGCTGTCAAAGTCACAGTCATTGATGGTTCGTCGCACGAAGCCCCTCCAACGCAGCCTGAGTACAAAGTATATGTGATGTATCCACCTTGAAAAACAATAAAAAAAAAGAAGAAAAAGGAATGTCGCCACCATCCTGCATGGGCTCGACCGGGCTCTGAATTTCATACAGGACCGGGTCGAACGCATTACGCCACTGATCCGCACCGCCCCTGCAGAGAAGGATGATCTCGTCCCCTTCCCCCCTTTGTATCTGCAGGCTGACAGGCCCTTTTCCATGGTGCTCTGGTTCGGTAAAGTCCGTTTTGGAACCACCTGGCGGGATCTGATTCCTCGCATGGCCCTGCACGTGCATATGCATGCAACTAGTCAACTGTCGGGTCAGATGTGATCTCTCTATTTTTTACCTTCCGTCTCTCCTCTTGTTCGAGACCGAGTCTAGAAAAGCGAAAAGAAGTTGTTGCTCCAGAAACATACATGTAGGAAGGCTGAACTCGAATATTGGTTATTATCAATCAGTTGTTATTTTTGTTTCAGATTTCAGGTTGATGTTGCTCTGTTTTGGTTACTGTGGTGGTGGTGTCATAGGTTGATATGCAGGGTATGTAGTGTGACGGTCTTATGCATGATAATAATAAAACTACGTACTACTGTGCACAACCATCATGATATAATCCCTGTTTAGTCTTGTTGCCAGATATGATCTGTCCTTGTCTTAGAACTATTGCATACTTATAAATGAACTTCATGCTAGGATCAGGCGCTAAATATAATGTTTCTTTTCAGGCATACTTCACATGTAAAATTGTGATGCGGATCTTGAAACTGGCCCAAAAATAATATTAGTACTAAGTAGTAGTAGTAGTAGTAGTAGTAGTAGTAGTAGTAGCAGCGGTTGTGGTGCTGTAGGGTCCCTTACTTGTTAACGAAACTAGAGACGCGAGAACTAAGCAGTAGAAGTGGTGGCTACTTCCAGTGGTACTGATTCATGTATGGGAGATATTATATATATATGGTCATCTTTACTACGAATATCCTTTTATGGCTTGGATCATAGGTTCATTAGTTATTTCGAACAATAGTAGTGACTATTACCTATTAATAAGTGGAACTGACAGTACTTAGGTCAACTTGAATGTATATCTTGACACAACGAGTTGCCAAGTTTAGATAGATGTTTCAACGAACAGTTCTTGACACCAGTGAGATCGAGGTTCGTGAGTTGAGACGGATGATGCTCAATATGATGCGATGTATATGGTAATTCTAATACTGATTAATATTGCCAAAATATAAGATATGTCTCCTACTAAAGTAAGAGTATATTTCAATACTACTAGTAGTAATATGAGGTAATGGTATCTCTCTTGTGGCAGCGAGCATATTACTGAGCATGAAAAGATGGATGGAGAGGGATGAGCCCTGGTCTTATTGTCGCTGTCTCGAGGTAGTAATGGTAGTAGGTTAGACAGTCGTCGTTGACTGGTGCTACTATGAAGGTCCAATTCATTCTTATGATGGGGACAGCATATCCGGGCTATCAACTATATGAATGTCATACTAGTACTATTCTTCTTTGCTCAGTAGGCTCCTACTAAAAAAAAGTAGTGACCAGATCTGTATATAGTAAAGAATTTGGGACACATGTAAGTTTTAAAAAGTGTTCTTGACTGTTCGAGAACGCTTGGGGATTAGTATTGGATAATGTAGACCGTAGCATGCAAAGTAGAGGGGGAAGGCAGAACTGTTTTTGTTCTAGCAGGAATTTGAGTGAGTGCAAGATAACACGTCAGTCCAATTGCCAAATTATAGTGTGAGTGGTAGTGATAGCCAAGTTTGGCTTGATCTGGCACTGATGAGGAAAGAGCGCAAGCCGTTCTTTCCAACTCGTCATCGGCGCGAGAAATGTCGTAAAAGGTATTGTCTGATCGCTATAGACTGTTGATGGCCATGACAGACTGAGACAAGAATGCTTGAATAGCTTGACAACGATGCTTGACAGCTAATGCAATTGACCGCTTCAAGCAACACGCAGCAGCCGGGTGTGTCCGAGAGCAGCCAGACTCGGCTCGAGACATGAGTTCCCTTTTCCAGTTTAAGATCAAGTTTAGGTTCATTATCAGTATCACACGTTGGGCTCAGAGGCCTTGGAGGAGCCCGATTGACCCAAGTTATCCCGTAATAGGAATCCCGAGAGCATCACATAGGTAACTCGGCCGAATTTGTGGGCAAGAGCATACGTACCTTTCTGAGTCATGGCACAGATTAAGCCACCAGGAAGGGTAATAGTGTCAACTCCACTTCACGCTTTCACTCTGACAACACGGTATCAGGGAATGATGGGTTTGCACTCCGAAGTCTTCCGGGGGTGGCCTCGGATTACTCTGGCTGTGATGATAGGGGACAGCTGGAACAGCTGCCCACGCTCACCGCTCTTGTGTAGATTGTTTGCGACAATGCAACACATGGGTGTGAACTCGTATGGGCACATACTGTTGAAATCATCTTTCATTCAATTGAGACACCCCTCTATTTGTCAGCCCCACGGACGGTGGATATCATGCACAAGGTATCAATAGGACATGACCATGCAAGAACGGCATGCACTCACCCGGTAAATCCTAGGAAGTTTGTTTCAAGCGGAAAATAGCTATACGAAAGGACATCAGCCATGGGAGGGACATCACTTCCGACCAATGACAATTATGAATGTTGGACTCCGGGGGAAGACACAAAGGACAGCCGGTTGAGTCCTTACAATGCGGACCATAATCTCCTAGGAGAAAGGCAATTATGACTCGGAGACTATGCATTGTCCAAGGTTTGTTGATAGTATCAACGGAAATAGTAGTATGTCGAGCGTGTCCATCATTGGGCCGATCAAATCAAAATCAAAGGCACTGCAGACTGTGGGGTCAGGGCATATCCCTGAGCTCAGTCTAGACCTGAAGCGATCTTCCCAGGATGGAGAAGCACAGAGAGAAATGAGAGAGCAGTGAGTGGTGAGTACCCGACGATAACAGCCATTGAGGAGGCGTGCAGGTGACTTGCCTGGATGGAGGCTTGGCGCAGGCGACAGTTGGCAGCACCAGACTAGATTTGTTTTTTTGGAGATGGCTTCGGCCTCGTTCTCGTTGGCTCCGCATTAGTGCAGATTAGGCGGGCCTAAGCCCTTGCTAGGCTTGCCATTATCGCGCGCCCCCCATGGCTTTATTTTTGACGTCGAGTCTGCAGCCAGCAAGAACATCAATCACTAATGGCTGCTCTCCGTTTCGGGAATCTAATGCATCCATTTATCCTCCTTGTGTTGAAGGAACCAATGATCCCTATTTTCCTTAGAGATCTCCGAGAACATTAGTCTCGAACATGGTCTTCTTCCCCTCACGTTGCCCCGCTGTGTTCCGTTTGGGTGTCCATTCATACCAGATCATCTCAGGTACTCATCAGCTTCTCACGAGTCACTTACCTTGGGTCGAGATCGTTCGAAACCCGCAGTGGATCAGTAAAAACGGACAAAATGGCTTCGCCAGCAGTAAGAAAGCCATGTACAAGTGGAGAGTTAACTTAATTGAGTTTCCAATAGTGTTGCTGGCGGGCGATCAGGTCAATGTACAGTTGGTCAGTTGCAATCCGCTCCGGATATCTGAGTGAGCATCAGGCCACTCAGAGACTTGTTATTTGACCTCTCCATCGTGATGAAGGCTATTATCGCTAAATGCAGTAGTCCACACTGGACGGAGGCTCCAGTGAACCAATCGACTATCGCGCCCCATCGCCAGTGAGACCCAACATGGGTCTCAACTGGTAGGAGTGGTATCTGAAAGCCAGAGGGACGTAAGTGGTGTCGGGGCAAGCTGGAATTCTCCGAAGTGTTCGGTCCATCACACTAGTATGACATCGCAAGGCTACCAACTATACGTGGAGGCAAATGTCATTGGGTCGAATAACCGCTCCCCTGAAGCGGTTCTAGCCTACCAGCAGCATGCGCTTAGGGTGAAACTCCCCCTGTTGAAACTATCTGGGCACAAGATCGAGCCGGGGGGTCGTGCAGGGTGGCTAGTGGCCCAGCAGCTAAAGAGGCAGACGCTCCATCCGGGTAGGATTTGCTCTCCCGCAGCGGCGTGATGCATGACGCACCCACTGCTAGAGGACAGCTGGACCGGCAGACCTGCACTGCCTACGCCCCGGAGAGGAGTGGTGCAGACCAGAATCGGGGCTGAGGAAGAGGGCGAGAAAGCGAGAGAGCCAGCCGGAGGAAGCAACGAAAGAAGGCGAGAGACCGTGGCGAATGGCTAAGAATAATCGAGACCAGACGCATACACGTGGGCCCGCCTGATCTGCGTAAGTTACAAGGGACTTTGGCTGTGTTTGGGTGGTTTGGCGGTTTTTTTGCGGTATCTCCGCTAACGTCACATTTGCCGGGGTTTTGTTTCGCATTTTTATAGATGATGTTTTTTTTATTTTATTGTAGATACTAGATACGGTATTTATCAGTAAAGAGAAGATTCGTCTGCATCGCGAGCCAGACATTTTTATACAAAAGCCAGTCCCTCCCCCACCCCAGAAAGAAACTGGAACACACACTACACTACACTACACCACACAAGAAGATCTACATCGCTTGGAGTTTACTATTTTACTCTCACACACGGTTCAGCAACAGCCCCGACGTCATCGCTCTTGTCGCAAATCCATCTCTCATCAACGGTTCTGCTTTCTTTGCGCTGCCCCGCCATATTTTTAATCAACGGCCCGCCCCAGTCAGCCGCTGCCGTCACCCACGGTTCGCTTGCAGTCAGTTCCTTTCCCTCTAGTATTCCCTATCAGGTCATCCACTCCTTCAATCCAAACATATCACACATGTCTCGATACGGCGACTACCGTCGCTCTACTGGGGCTCTCGACGAGGACCATTATTCGCGGGACCGTGAGCGTCACCGTCACCGTCACCGTTCACGTGGACCCCCGGTACTCGAGCGCCCCCGTCGTGTCGAAGAGGATGATCGCTTCGAATATCGCCTTAAGGAACAGGAGCGATACGGCCCCCCTGCCCGTCGCTCTGAAATATTCTACGAGGATGACCATATAGCCTACTCCCCAGGCCCGCTGGTCACCTACCGCCATGCCGAAAGTCCTCCCCCGCGCCCGCGCCTTCTGCGCCGACAGTCTTCCTTGGACACTTTCGACCGCCCAACACGCAAGGTCGATGAATATTACTATAGCGACTACCCGCCTAGAGCTCCTCCTAGTCCCCCACCGATGCGAAGACGAGGCTCCTTCCACCGTGTTCGTTCGCCCGACTACTACGAGGAAATCCGTATCGCGGAACCAGACTACTATGGCGATGAAGAGTACCGGGAGTTCCGTGAGCGTGATCGGATCGTGGAGCGCCCACGTCGCTCAGTGAGTCGGTATCGTGGGAGAATGGTAGAGGAAATTGACGTGGAGAAACCGTATCCTCGGAAAGGCAGAACTCGCATGCCTCGCAAGTTGGTTCACACCAGCGCGATCCGCGAGTTTGGCTATCCGTATGAGGAAGAGGTGTGTATATTTCATGGATACAAGTCGAGCTGGAACAAAACATGGCCTGGGCCTTGTCCAACGCTAACCGTGGCTGCAGGGAAAAATGATCATCATTCAGGTTGCTCTTTCCAAGGAGCAGATTGACGAGGTCATCAGTCGAAGTCGTGAGATCAAGCGCATGACCGAGAGTAGGTTTCCCACGTGCTTGTCATCAAAAGAGCGATGGTGCTGACGGTCTCCAAGCACATTATAAGCATACCTCTTCACCCTCACCCATTCGCGACAGACATCGCGACCGCATAGTGGAAAAAATCGCTATGGAGAGTTACACTCCCCGGACGAGCCATGAGACTTTGCTCATCGAGCCATCTCCGTCCCGGCACCGGTCGCGGTCGCGCCATCACCATCATCACCACCACCATCCCGAGCTGGAGGAAACGAAAATAACCAGGACAGTCTCTCGGACACGAAACGTGTCCGTCCAGGGTCGCCCTCGCCGTCGGTCATCGCCCGTGCGTAGAATTGAGCGGTATGACGATGGAGCGCAATCCACTAAGCTTCAGTCCGGCCCACTTGCAATCGTTGTACGTCCGCGAGACAGTGATGACGATCTGCGGGAATACACGCAAATCGAGCGACGTGGCGGTGGGGAGGTGATCCGAGACACGGAGGTTATTGGCGACGGCGAAGAAGAGGAGATCCTCGAGGTGAAAAAGGATCGCAGAGGTAGGATGAGCCTTGTCCGACGCAAGCGGTGAAGTGCGGATTCTAAGAGATGATCATAGGCCCGAGCTCACGGCTCATGAGAGCGATGATGGCGACTTTGACTTAATCCGGGTAACTGAATGCGGACTCGGGGAGCATTTTTACGACTTTCAGCTATTCCTTAACGATTTCGGTGTCTCCTATTTTTCATCTGTACTATATCAGTTTGATTGCGATGACGACTTGTACTATGATTCGATTGGTGCGGTTGACGCCATGCTATTACGACGACGATAACGACAATGGGATTCTTGTTTGTTCATGGGTTTGTGCGCGTTATTAAGGTCTTGTTCCTGGGTTTGTTTGTGGATTGTGGGTTTAGACCATGTTTAATACTTATCAGGCCTTTTCTGGGCCTAGTCAATGCAAGAAATCTGACCAGTGGTGTCCGCACATTAGAGTTTGTCTAAGAGTAAGAAGTGTAGCAGTAAAGTAGAACTGTCCACATGATAACAGGCTGAGATAGCGATGCTGCCTGGGTGCCTGGCACATGCCGGCATGAAACCGTGGCGGTACCAGCGATACGAAGGCGGTGTCGCACCAATGAACGGAAAGTGGCCTCGACTCCGCGATCTGCACATCAACACCATCTTCTCTCTGACCCTCCTATTGCAGACTTCCTGCATTTGTATTCAATTTAGATATATCGTGCTTATCCCAGAAACTTAAGAATTTCAGTGTCCAACGACATCATGGATAAGTTCCAGGCGTTCGGAAAGAACCTCAGGTGAGATAACTGTTCCCCTCCGCAATAATTTCTCCGATTAGGAGACTGTCCGCATTTCCAGCGGCACTCCGATGCTGTCATACAGCCAAGACTGCAAGCCAAGCATTATACTAACATGCTATGTCTTATCGAACAGCGCGAGCTTCTCGCCCTTTGCTGCGCGCACTCAGCAGATGATCAAGGAGCAGCTTGGTCAGGCCGATGACCGCACTCAACTCCCCGATGAGTACATCGAGCTGGAGAAGCGGGTGGATGCCCTGAAGATTGTCCACCAGAAGCTTCTTCAAGTGACGTGCGTTATATCTTCTCCCGTAACGATTCATCTCTCAGTCAGCTAACATGTTGACCCCCTCACATGCAGTTCCCAGTACTCCAACGAGGCCTATGACTACCCGCCCAACATCCGCGAATCCTTCAACGACATGGGCCGCACCATCAGCGAGAAGGTTCAGCTCCTTTCCCAGGCCTCCTCTCCCGCTGAGGCTCAGGCTGCCCTGACTGCCCCTCCCTCGGCCAAGCCGCAGCCCAAGACCTTCAACCACGCTATTGCCCGCGCCTCTCTGGCAGGTTCCCAGACTCTGGCGCAGAGCTCGCATGGCGAGGACCCCCTGGCCACTGCGCTGGAGAAGTACGCTTTGGCGTCGGAGAAGGTGGGCGAGGCCCGTCTGGCCCAGGACGCTCAGATCCAGTCCCGCTTCTTGGCTGGCTGGAACACCACTCTTAACACGAACTTGATGTTCGCCGCGAAGGCACGTAAGAACGTTGAGAACGCTCGTCTTATGCTCGACTCGATCAAGGCGAGCAAGAAGGCCGCCGTCAGGGGTGACTGGGACAGCCTGAGTGAGGAGGCTCGTGCGGAGATTGAGCAGGCGGAGGATGAGTTCGTCGGACAGACCGAGGAGGCTGTTAGCGTGATGAAGAATGTACGTTGGCTCATCCGCGTGGAAAATTGCAAAGACTGACAAATAAATCTAGGTTCTCGATACCCCCGAACCTCTGCGGAACCTGGCCGACTTGATCGCGGCGCAGCTAGAGTACCACAAGCGGTCTTACGAGATACTCAGCGAGCTGGCTCCTGTTGTCGATGGCTTGCAGGTTGAGCAAGAGGTATGATCGATCAATATTCACTGGTGGTTTTTTCATCGTGACTAATTGGCATCTTCCTGCAGGCCAGCTACCGTAAGAGCCGTGAGGGCGCGTAAATCGGTTGTTGCTGGAATTTGTCGCCATTGTCTCGTGTTGTTTTATTGCCGCTTGTTATTGGAAACTAGCCTCGTTTGATTCACCCTGTTTGCCTTGCGAAATTGTTCTATATCCCTCGATGTGTGAATACGTGGGTTATTGACTGCTTGAAGCGTAAACCATGCAGTGTATATCGTAGACTGATACTGTCGATGCATATCAAACTGACATTCGCGTACTATACCATAAGCCCAGACATCTCATCTTAGAGATATCCTCGAAATAACCCTGCGCAAGGGCATACATCAGATAGACTTAATCTCGTATTTCACCTAACCACAAGATAAAACTCACTTGCCCAGAAATATACCCAGGCAAAATAACAACCTCGACATCCCTTCTGCGGAGCATAGACAAGATAAATCCTGCCTCAGGCATCAATCCCGAGCAGCGGCGCAGCTCCGCCGATAACCTCCCTCTCGATAACCACGTAACTCCGTCCCCCGTTCCGACCAGCTAGCTGCGCGACAATCCAGTCCTTTACCTGCCACTGCGACCCTACCTCCCTCCAGCGAGCTATTCAGACGAGCGAATCACGAATTCCGCATTCGCGCCGTTTCACCACCCAGCCAGCGAATCAGCTACTATCCAGCTAGTCAGCTACCTAGCTACCTCCACCGGTCCTCAACCTACACCCTCCCCCAGACACACCAAAGGGACATACAAACAAGAGCGAAAGAGAAGAACAAAAAAACAGCAAGGCTGGACCTGCTGTACACCTCTCATTCCCCGGAACATATACTCGATCGATTCGATAGATCAGAGCAAGAAAAGACAAAATGGCGAACGGGTATGTTTCTGCTTGGGTGTACACCCTGCCTGTCTATAGACTGGGTGATTATCTATCGATGCGCCCTTGCCTAGTCATGGATACGATATTGCTAAATGGAAATATATACTAATATGGGATATATGGGAATGATAGTTGGAGTTTAATCATCGGCCTCATCTTCGTGGTGGTTGCTTCCGTCCTGGCGTGGATCTTTAGTCCTAAGGGGGAGAATCAGACGTGCGTCAATCTTATACATTCTTTTCCCTTTCCTCCTCAATACATCGAAGGAGGTAGGTAGATGGGGATTTGCTAATTTGCTGGGATATAGTGTCTTCCGGAGCACGCTTGTGCTTTCTTTCGTTTGTTGTTATTTGATGTGGGGTATGTTCGAACTCAACACCTTTTCCTTTCCTTTCTTTACTACTCTATGGTTTTGGGGAAGACGTGACTAACTGGCTTTGTCTTGTAGCTATTACATTCTTGGCGCAGTGGCATCCGTTGATTGTGCCGAAGAGGTCGGATATTCGGCCGGGGAGGGTACCGCAGTAGATACCTTTCTTGCTTGTTTTTGGGGATTGTCTGGGCTGGTTGAGGGGAAGATGTTTAAGGGTGATATGATGGGAATGAGGTGGGTGGGATGCGGTTGAATAGTGGAATACCAGGGGATGCGTGGATAAGGGGTCTAGGGTGTGATTGAGGGGGAAGTGGAGGGAGGTGATACCATGATATAAAATGTGGGATTACTGTATAGCTACGCTACTATATCTTTTGTCTTGTTGTTGCGTTTGGTTTGAATACCTATTTATCTATTTACTGTCTCTGTATGGTATGGGGTTGTGGATTGTAGATGTTCATTACGAGTAATATGTGGTATGGTATGTTACGATGGTAGGTCTGTCTATGTATGTATGCTCTTCTATAATAAAGGTTAACCAACCCCAACTGCCCCCAATATCACCCTCTGTACAGTCCACCGAGCGGCCAAACCCGCCACCGCCAGTGCCACCGCGCGCAGATACCCGCACCCAAGCAGGATATACAATGCTTCGATATTGCTCAGCAGCACGAGATGCGTGTCCGCCGCTCCCAGAGAGAGCAGCGGCCCAAGCATGTCAATAAAGCTAGCTAGATAGCTGGTAGGTACAGACTCGGGCATGATCCTGATAAGACTTTCCAACAGCGAGGACGAGCCAGGCAGGGAAGAAGTCCCTGACGCAGTCGGGTGAGCTGCGGTGAGAGTCGCTGCAGGGCCGATGCCGTTGCCATCTAATGTCTGCTGGATGATAGTTGTCTGGCTGCCGGCGCTGAGCAGGGTGTTGTTGGATCCGGAGACATTGGACGCATTTCCGCTGCCGTCAGGGCCCCAGATGACCAGGAGGATAGGGAAGAGCTTCGCGCAACTGCTGACGAGCAAAGCGGTGCTGATGGCGGTAGGGCTGGCTGGTGAGGGGGGCGGAAGGGGTCTGATGCTCTGTGCTGGGGCGGTGGACGCACGGCGGAGAGGTGGTGGGAGGGAGGAGAAAGATCCTTGGGGTGTTGTGGGAGGGAGATGCTGGATGTCACTGGCTGAAGCGCTAGCTATAGTTGAAACATCGTTGGAAGAGCCTTGTGGGGTAAGCCTCGGTGGGCTTAGTGTCGATGCTGGCGTGGGCGAGAGCTGTGTTTGGCTGTTGTTGGTCTGCGATGGGAACGACGGGAGTATGGGTGTCGAGGGGTTGGAGAAGATAGGCGCTTCTGTCGCATTGCCATGCTGAGAAGAGCCAGTGTATCCGCGGGGTGTTGGAGCAAGGATCGATGCCAGAAGCCGGATAGTGAGGTGGTGGGCGAGAGTCGCCAGCGCATTCAGGCTCAGGAAGAAGAGGTATTGGACGATGATGGGCGCGCGCGAAAGAAAGGTAGTTGCGAGTGATGGGGATTTCTCAATCCGTGCCCATGTCAGGTAGACGTCGAATAGGAGTAGTAGAATACCCAGACGGATTATGGAGCGCTAAGCAAATGAGATGTGTTAGTCGCAGACTGCGATGTCGTCGGTGAATGTAGATAGCGAGCGCTTACATCGAACTGGTTGTCGTCTCCCCCTAGCCGATTGAAAAGTAGATGGCGATACACCTTGATGATCGTCAGCGAGATTATCACCCATGTATGCAATTTACATACCTGCGGCTTGATAAGGACGAGATCAATGAAGATCACGACGAAATCGTGTTCGACGTATTTGTCCGCGAACCGCTGGCAGCGCGGACATTGCGTCAGACGCACCCCTTTACCCAGGGAACGATCATCGGCGCGGCTGTATGTGCTGTATAAATGAGAGACCGGATAGGAGCACTCGATGCAGATGGGCATCGTGTCATTGACTCCTTTTCATAGTGGAGGAGCCCATAATCATGGGGAAGAATTACAGAACCCCGTGGGCGAGACTCCGATGCCCGCAGGAGATGCCGAAGGCGGTGAGTGAATACTGTATAGGATATTCCCCTTAAATGCTTCTCTTGCACCGGGCTTTAACCATACGATAGGCTTGATTATTGTCTAGGACTCATACTGGATACGTCGATTCTTCAGTGCTAACATGGCTCGACAGTACTGTTATTCTACAGCTTGCTTCCTACCACAGGAATGGGTAGGATGTTGTTCCGCTGGCTCTGCAACCGCTCAGTTGTCGTCTTGAACAGACGCGGCAGCCCCGTCTGCTCATACGAGACTCCCTCGACAATCAACTGTGCGATACCCCGGGCTGAGAGAAAGACCTGCGGCATTCCATGTCCGGTAAAGCCGGCAACTATGAGCTGCCCAGGCTTGTTGGGAACATGTCCGACGTGCGGTAGCGAATCGGTGCTATAGCCCATGACTACCCCAAGTTAGCACCCTTCAATCTTATTTTAAAGGTAGGAACAGCATGCGAGATGGATACATACTTCCTGACCAAACCCGGTCTGTATATGCTCCCGTGTTCTCCCACCCATGGAAGTGTCTCTGCATATAGTTGTCGAAATACCGCACTGCCGCCTCAACCGTTCGGCTGTCGTCGGTATTGTTGTACCAGCTATCTCGGTCCTGATAATAGAAGGTCGACTTTGCTCCGCCTACAATGATACTTCCATCCGGCCGGGGAATGAGGTAGTCATAATGCCAGCCATTAAACCGCAGCATATACGAGCGTTCGAGCGGCGATGGAGGTGGATTGGGTACCACAATGCGACTGCAGAATCCTCGCACTGGGATGATCTTGTCCTTGTACTCCGGTGCAATGGACGACGTGTATGCGTTTGTAGAAAAGACGACCCATTTGGCGCGGATTGAGCCACGATCAGTGGTCACCATCCATCGGCCTTCGTCATCCGGGAATTCAGACACTTGCGTGACGGGCGTGTGTGTCTGAAGGTTTACTCCCGCCGACACAGCTTGCCTCAAGAGATGTATAATGAACTTATACGGCCAAAGTCGGGCGGTACGCTGGTTGAAGCAAGCCAAGGCCCCCTTTACACCGGATACCTAGGCGATGTAAGCCGTGCTGTCTTAGGTATGTATGTATGTAGAATGTGACATACGGTCTCTGCCATTTCAGGTGGTGTGTATCCGACATCCTTGATTGTTTCCACACCCTGAGAGACAAGATAATCATACCCGGCCTTGACCTTTGCAAGCTGGTCTTTGTCAAACTGTATATCGCAGACTCGGTTCACCTCTAAGTCGCAATCGATCTTCTCCTTCTTAACCAGATCTTCAATAACGGAGACATGCTCCATCTCAAACGCAGCGACTTCAGCCGCCGCCTCTAATCCGTACTCCTTGGCCAGATTACCGATTCGGTTGAATACATCAGGCTTCAAGTGACCACCTACACGGCAGGGTCCGCCCTGCATTAGATTTGACAAACAGTCTAAATATTGATACAGATGAGTACTTGCCATTGCGCCCCGTAGCCCCCGAGCATGCCTGTCGTGCTTCTAAGATCACAATGGAAGGCTGTTCTGCTGATACGAGTCGGCTGCGCTCGAGACAGTGATAAGCAGTCGAAGCTCCAGCATAGCCGGCGCCTATGATAACGATGTCACTTGTTTCTGGAAGTGACTCTGTAGAGCGAAAGTTATCCAAGGGATCGGGTTCCGACCGCCAGAAGGATGTCAAGCTATGATCAACAGGGAATGGTTTAGCCATCTTGATGCAAGAAAACGGCAACCAGTCCAATTCGCTGCAGCAAACAAAGCAGGAAAGTATAATAAGTTACTATCGATGTTGGTTTTATATACGGGGTAAGAGTATCTAGTATGGCGGTTGAGATAAGAATGTCTGCCAGCTCATCGATGCGTTGGTCGGCATTGGACAGAAGCGCCGACGGACTGCAGCGGAGTGTCTGTGCCTCGTTTCCGATATCTGCTAGCGTCGACAGGGGGCTTGGATCCGATAGTCTGGCAAGCTTATCAGATTGCATCTGAGCTGAAGAATCACGGCAGGCCATGATGGCCAGGGTCTGTTGTGCACGAGGTGTCTCCAGCCCATCGTGTCGGAAGAAGTCCAACGTTGCATTCAATGCATGATGATGCCATGGTTGGAGAAAGCAGAAGGGTCAAAGACAGTAAGTGCACAGCCAGTCACTCCATTGACCAACCCTAGATGTTGTCAAGCATGGCAAAATAGATCTGTGCAGAATTACTATTATAGGAAAACATGGATACCTCACAAGGCTACAAGTGATAGGTTGAGGTACAAGAGAGGAACATTCAAAGACTCAGTCCAAATAGGTACGTATCGGTAACCTCCACGGTAACGTGGCCCCCATCAATGAAGCCAGCCAATTACAAGTCATAAAAATTGCATTGCACGGGCGCATGGACGCGTAATGATACTGTACCGCCATGACCTGCAGGAGCCTTTATCAGTACCTGTCCGGTATTGCCCGCTCATCTCGCACTGCCAGCTGAAGGTCAATGTGCTGCCCCGCTTCCCTGTTGTAATGTTGGAACTGAAGGTCCTCACGGGAAATGAAGTTAGGGTATCAAGGCATGTAGATGGGCGAGAAAAAAAGAAACAGCCATCAGAGTTATTCCAAGCGACGAAGAGAATTGGCATCAGATTTTAGGTCTGGGGAAGGAGACAGTCCTTCATTCAATCAATCGAGACACACCTCTCCACCCCCAGCCAATCACTCCTGACGGAGATCTGTCGCATTCCCTCCGCGTGTGGCAAACCAAACCAAATCAAATCAAACCCACCCCCTCGCTCAATGCAATCTCAATCGCACACAAACTCTGCCTGCGCGACTGATTGATCTCCCTTGTGCGCGTTCCAGAAAGACTCCCCCCGGTTCCTCCTTGACGCCTGCCCAGCTCGAGTCATTAACCCAGTTCCTGCCTGCTTGAAACTCTTTCCCATCTCCACCTCTCCTCTAGAACTTGAGCTTCTGGAATCGCAATCACCACTTTGCTTCCCCCCGAGGCTTATCGGCCGCATTAAGCTAAATCGATCCCCACCCGGTTTTCTAGGCTTTCCCGAGCACTTCGTACCCCTCGATTCCCTTTTTCGTCCCGTCTTTTTACCTTCCGGTCAACCCTCGGCCTTGATTCTGTCCTTGTCACGTTGCCTTTCTTTTCACCCTTCGTTTTTTCTTTCTCCCTGGCCCGAGTGTTGCGCCATCGCTTTTTACACTGCCCCACTACTCCTCAACTCCCGTGAATACCTACATCATGTCCGACCAGGCCAACTCTCACTACCAGGAACCCATTAACGGGCTCAAGCCGTTATCAAATGCGGAAGGCTTCGACTTGCCTGCTACCGCGAGCGACCTGTCCCGCCGCGCGGAGCGCGCAGAGTTCTCATACGCCGATGGCCAGCCTCTAGGAGAGGCTGAGATTGAAGAGGATGACGATGACGAAGAGGAAGAAGTCGAAGGGGAATATGTCGCCGTGGACCATGACGATATCAACGAGTACCCTTACTGGTTCCGCCGCCCGCCCGTCCACCAACGCACAAAGTTGGACGAACTGCACCCGTTCGTGCAGGTTCTTACCGAGTCGAACGTGGAAGATTGCGTCAAGGTCGAGGAGGCGTTCCCTGAACACGAGCGCTGCTCGCGCGAAAAGGTATGAGTGAGGTGTTGGATGCTATGCGCCAGTCAAGCAATTTGGTTGGAGCTTGGGCTAATTGGGTTCACAGTTTCGTTATCGCCTGAGCAGATGCCCGGAATTATGTCTCGGCTTGTTTACTCTTCCAATTCTTGGTGAGGGCGAGCCTAAGCCTCGCCCGACGTTGGTGGGGCACGTCATCGCCACGAGAACCTCGAACCCTGTGGTGACGGATAAGTCTATGGAGCTACCGGCGAAGTGGCAGGAAGAGCGCATGACTGTGGTGGACGGAGAGACCGTCGGTCATGACGAGTACGGCAGCACGATTGCCATCCACTCTCTTGCTGTGCTGCCGGAACATCAGGGCAAGCAGGTTGGCAGCACATTGATGAAGGCATACATTCAGCGGATCAAGGATGCGCAAATCGCTGATCGCATTTCCATCATTGCGCATGGCCCCTTGGTGCCCTATTATCAGTCTTTTGGTTTTGAGAACCGCGGTCCTAGCAACTGCCAGTTTGGCGGTGGTGGCTGGGTGAACATGGTAAGTTCTCTTTCGGCACATATTTGGTTGCATAAGACCGAAGCTGACAGTCCACAGATCTTCGAGTTCGCCAAGGAGTAAGCGCTCGTGGGCCTGTTCTTTAATGCTACTGCATCTCTGGGGCATGGTGTTGTGGTTTTCTTTTTTTGCTCCCCCCCCTTATGTCGTCTTCGATTTCTCACGTTTTGTTCGTTTCTCTTGATCTTTTTTCACACTACCCCATTTTATATGACGCATGCTATGGATTACACAGGATTCGGTCTTACTGGTGGGTTCATGATAAAAAGCAACGGCGTTTGTCGGGCTACGAGGGTTTAGGGACCGATGATGATGATGATGCTGGTATTATGATGGCCGGATTGAAGCACCACGGGATGGTTTGGTCAGGGCAGGCATATTTGTATCATAGTCCCCGGTAGTCAGTGTAAATGAATATATGGTATAGACATGGTTCGAAGAATTTAAGACATAAGATATAAGATATACTCTAGTACTAATATGCGTAAGTACCCAACAGCTGCTTGCTGGCTGGCCGCCTCGCCTAGAAGCAGTCCGAGAAACTCCAAAGGGGGGAAATTCCCCACATTAGTCCAGCGCTCACCGCCCGCCAAAATCTGCCTCCGACCGCCCGGAATATTTTTTTTTTTTTATCGCTCCAACGCAGATTTGCGCTTGTCCACCTCTTATTTACTAACCACGGGGTTTTCATTCAAGAGTCGCCTGCTGTTTCGACTCCATCCCCGGTGCCCATCATGAAGACGACGTGGAAAGATGTGAGTGCTCCTCGTTGATCCCCGAACAAGTCAATCCGGTCGCAAAAACATTCGATCTGACATCTCTTTTTCACCGCTTGATTAGATCGCTCCTGTGCCCACGAGCCAGGAATTCCTGGACATCGTCCTCAGTCGCACTCAGCGACAGCTCCCTACCCAGATCCGTGCTGGGTTCAACATCAGTCGTATTCGCGGTATGTCTTGGACTTCTTCCCCGTTGGTGCGGGATGCACAAGCTTGCTCCAAAAGCGGCAAATCAGAAATATTCGGGCTGAACTAATTAAAATTCTTCTCTGCCCACAGGCTTCTACACCAGAAAGGTCAAATACACCCAGGAGACTTTCTGCGAAAAGTTCCAGGCTATCCTCGATGGATTCCCCAGACTGCAAGATATTCATCCTTTCCGTAAGTCGCCTGCCTGCTCTTAGAGCTCCAAAAACCCCACTTATCTCTTTCGCTGTTTCTCGGTCAACAACATATCCTGACAAATTTCCAGACAAGGATTTGATGAACACCCTCTACGATGCCGACCACTTCAGAATCGCCCTGGGTCAGGTTTCGACTGCTAAGCATCTCATCGAAACGGTCTCCCGCGACTACGTCCGCCTGATCAAGTATGCTCAGTCTCTGTTCCAGTGCAAGCAGCTCAAGCGCGCTGCTCTTGGTCGTATGGCCACCATCTGCAAGCGTCTCAAGGACCCCCTTGTCTACCTTGAGCAGGTTCGTCAGCACTTGGGTCGTCTGCCCTCGATCGACCCCAACACCCGCACCCTCCTGATCTGCGGTTACCCCAACGTCGGAAAGTCCAGCTTCCTGCGCAGCATCACCCGTGCCGACGTCGACGTTCAGCCCTATGCTTTCACCACCAAGAGTCTGTTCGTCGGTCACTTTGACTACAAGTACCTGCGTTTCCAGGCTATCGATACCCCCGGTATTTTGGACCACCCTCTTGAGGAGATGAACACCATCGAAATGCAGTCCATCACCGCCATTGCCCATCTTCGGTCCGCGGTCATGTACTTCATGGATCTGTCCGAGCAGTGCGGTTACTCCGTTGGCGATCAGATCAAGCTCTTCCACAGCATCAAGCCTCTTTTCGCCAACAAGATCGTTTTTCTTGTTGTGAACAAGATCGATGTGAGACGCCCTGAGGACTTGGAGCCCGAATACCAGCAAGAGCTCCAGAACGTCCTCAAGTCGGGTGATGTTGAGCTTCTGCAGTTGTCTTGCACCACCACCGAGGGTGTGACTGCTGTCAAGAACGCCGCCTGCGACAAGCTCCTCGCCGAGCGTGTGGCTCAGAAACTCAAGTCCGGAACCAACAACGCCGGTACCCCTGGTGGTCGTCTGGGTGACGTCCTTGCCCGTATCCACGTTGCTCAGCCCATGGGCGGTGTGCAGCGCGAGACCTTCATTCCTGAGGCCGTCAAGACGCTCAAGAAGTACGACAAGGACGACCCCAACCGCCGCAGACTGGAGAGGGATCTCGAGGAGGAGAACGGTGGTGCTGGTGTCTACAACATCGACCTCAAGAAGACCTACGATCTGGCCGACGACGAGTGGAAGCACGACAAGATCCCCGAGGTCTGGAACGGCAAGAACATCTACGACTTTGTCGACCCCGAGATCGAGGCCAAGCTGGCTGCTCTGGAGGAAGAGGAGGAGAAGCTGGAAGCCGATGGCTACTACGAGTCCGACCACAGTGTCGAAGACGTGGAGGATGCCGATACTCGTATGAAGGCGGATCTGATCCGCGAGAAGCGCACCCTGATGCGCAACGACGCCAAGATGCGCAAGTCCCTCAAGAACCGGGCGCAGATTCCTCGCAGCGCCAAGGCCAAGAAGCTGTCCCAGATGTCGGATGCTCTGGATGCGGCTGGTTACGATGTGGACGCTGCCTCCTCCCGTGCCCGTTCCCACAGCCAGGTCCGTGGTCGCACGACCACCCGCGACGTGGACATGGACGATGCTATGGATGTCGATATGTCGGACCCGCGCCAGGCCATCGCCAAGGCCAAGGGCCGTCTCCGCAGCCAGGCAGCGACAGACCGTCGCAACGATGGTGTTGTCGACGAAATGGCACGCACCAAGGCCGAGCGCCTGGCCAAGTTGGGACAGAAGAAGATGAACCGGATGGCAAGAGCGGGAGAGGCCGATCGTCACACGACTGCTTCTTTGCCCAAGCACTTGGTAAGTTTTATCCTCCATCTATATCATCACTTCCAATCTGATATACTAACGTGTCTTTCAGTTCACCGGAAAGCGTACCATCGGCAAGACCCAGCGTCGGTAAAGGCATCGTCCGGATTTGGACGGTCGATGACGAGACGAAGTCCCTTCTTCTTAATACAGTACTCGATACACATAGTGGTCATGAAACATGGGTGTTCCAAAAAAGGGCGTTGGGGGTGTTTCCTTTTGTCGTCTTCTTCCTTTTCGTTTGGATGAATATATTCTTATCCTGAATACCTGGGGTTTATTCCCGCGAATCGATTGTTATGTTGATGAAGAGTTTAGTTGTGCTTTGTGTTGTGGTGAAGGAAGTAGACTGTCTATAGAAGTATGATGAATGCGATTCACTGGCATACTACTCATACAGTTATCATGTGTGTTCCAGCGTAGCAAGTTAACAAGAGGAGTAAGACATGATGGTTTCATGTAGTAGTTAGTCACTACTACCTCGTTGACTCGATCAAGAAAAGAGACTTATTGGGCAAGAAGACTACTTACTAGCATTATAGAAGCCTATCCTCAAAGTAAACAAGGCATTGTCTCAAACAGAAGGAGGTGATCTAAACAACCCCCCCCCCCCCAAACCGCTGCTAAGTACATGGCTTCTCTTACTCAAACATTTCAACTACTACTTACTACTCACTTGTTGATTGACTACTGCCACTCTCATCCATTCCCACTTAACAACTTCCATACCCCATTCCTTCCCATCCCACCCCACCCACCAAACCCAAACAACCAACAGTTCAAATTCAAAACATACACATGCACATACACATACACCAACTCATCATAATCATAACCATCTCCCTACTAACTCCAACATCCACAAGCAACCTGTACACATAAAGGCATTATCATGAGCAAAGGAGAACAGATTCAAGAAGAAGATGACTTCCTTATCATTACTATGGATAGATGATAATGTTTGCTACTTACTCACTCTGACAGAGAGAGTAAAGTGCTATCTATATTATTTATGTGAGTGGTTCGTGATAGTTGGCTGCTTTTGCTGGAAGTATATAACGTGCTAGTAACTGGCTGGCTGGCTGGCTGACTGGGTATTGTTTGCTGACTTAGTACTTAGTAGTGAGTGAATGAATAACCAAGAGGACGAATGATGTCTAATTGGTTTGCGTGATGTAATGGATAACAAAGAATGAATGTATCTACTTATAGCTGGGGCATGTGCACGTGCATGTAGTAGGTGTTGTTCTATGTGTTTTCTAGAATTCTTCTAGAAGGTCAGTAGAAAATGAGGGTACCCCGGACCCGCTGTGTAGAGCCGTTCCTGACTTCGTATTGACGCCGTGGGAGTGGGTGTGGAGGACGCTATACCGTGTATGGAGATGGTCGGATGATAAAAGTGCACTGATCAGTTTGGGCACGTTACTGTCTACTTTTGCTACATTACTTAGACGAAAGAAAAATCTACGGGATCACGGGTAAGGTTCATATGTACTTGTATTAATCGTGTCTCAATAACCTCAAAAAAATCAACGTCAACAGATGTATGCAGTTGCAGGTATCACCAAACGCCGATGTCGTAGTTCCCAACCATGTCCTTTCCGATGAGTCAAGCCATTCAAACATTGCGTGCGTGGACGCTTTCATGCCGATGATAGCTAGATAGCAAATGCAATGCAAAGAGCAATCATGCAATTAAATAAATCAAAGCTTAAGATGCAGGTTCAATGTACAAGGACAACGAGCAAATGAGTTCGCGAGCGCGAGTGGCTTACTCGCGGAGCTCAGTGGGCTCGGTGTGCTCAGCCATCTCAGCCTGACCCTCCTGCTTGGAAGAGGAAGGGGGACGGTGCATGTCCTGGACAATGCCCTCCGGGGGAACCCAGCTGGCACTCTGCCAGGGCTTGACGTGGAGCACGTACATGGTGTCAACCTCCTCGAGAGTGCGACCCTGGGTCTCGTTGACAAAGAAGAAGACAACGAAGATGGCGGCGAAACAGCATCCAGCAAAGACGTAGCCGTAGGCGAAGTCAATGGAGCTAGAGATGAAGGGAGTGAAGAAGGAGATGAGGAAGTTCCAGGTCCAGTTGGCGGCGGTGGCAATTCCAA